CTATGTATAGGCGAACCACTTTATCGTGTTATCGTTTTTGGTCATCAGATATACTTACTACCAATTATCATATGAGTGATCTGATCCGCTCATAGTATACAACCAGTGTGGGTTAAACAAACCGAGTAAGTTGTATACTAGTAAAACATGACATGTTAGTTTATCATGTGCACCGTGGCTCTATAGACCGAACTCCTCACCGAGGACATACAAATGAATCATAGCGAATTTACGCAATCAATGTAATTTCTAGCAACTAAGGGTTTGAGTTGAGAGCCTCAGTAATAGTCTCCGTCGCAGAAAGAACCTCCTCATCCTGGAACTGCCAGCCAACAATTTGCACATGGCAAGGTGCTCCGTCGACTTCTTCAATGTTGACTACAATTCACTTAGCTTGCGCTGTAATGTCATGCTGATAGGATAACTCACATCCATCCAATTCCTCCGTATCCAGCGCTTTGCTGGCATGTTCGTAGGGAATAACGCTCGCGGGAAACTGAATGTCCTCGTTAACAGGGCCGCTTGATAGTCATCTGCGGGCTTGACTCACATCGAGGAAATTCCAGATCAAAGTGTATACAGGAGCCCCGTACTTGTCATGCGGCACGGCTGTTCCCCGAGAAGCCGGACAAAGGAGAACGTCGAGCTGGTTTTCCCGCCATACCTTGCCCCAGTCTTCTTTGTAGTCCTCTCTCTCGGCGATGAACTGCCACACATCGTCTAGTGAAAATACATCCTGGTTGAGTAACGCTGCTGGATTGAGTTGGCGGACACACTCGACCGGATCTTCTCCCGACTCTGCTAGATACTTGGAGATTGTGTCATTGGTATCTAGCAGAAGGGACCGCATCGCTCCGTTGACTCCTGTGATTAGGGGCGGAGCGGCCACGGTAATAACCTCATGCCCAGCACTCTTCAGCTTGGATACTGCAGCCTGCAGTGCCCGGGAGATTGGAGGGAAGACCGGAAACATCGGATCATTCGAAAAGACTCCGATGGTAAGCCGTGGCTTCTTAGGGGTCTCTCGCCATGGTATGGCCAAGGCAGTGGAGTCTCTCAGCCATGGCTTGGAGAGAAGGACCGATCGAACAAAGAATGTTAGGTCAGTTGCAGATTGGGCATGTGGCCCAGCAGCAGGGAGAATCCCCGGCCATCCTTTTCGGACGAATTCTTGTTGGCCTCCATACGGCACGCGATTGGCAGTGGGCTTGAACCCGTAGATACCATTGCATAAAGACGGCACTCGTATCGAGCCGCCGATATCAGTCCCAACTCCTAGGATAGACCCCCTGATACCTACTAGTGCCCCTTCGCCGGAGCTGCTTCCACCCGCGGTCAGGCTCAGGTTATGTGGATTCATCGTTGTACCGAAGAGTCTGTTATAAGATTCGCATGTCTAATATGTTTCAGGTAAAGTCCAGAAGTAGAAAGTGAAGAGTTCCAGAAGGAAACAACTTACGAAAAGAGTCTGAGGCACGTTTGTCTTGACGTACAATACTGCGCCTCCCTCGAGTAGCATATCGACCAGGGAAGAGTTCTTGGTCGCATTTGGCTTCTTGAGGAAGGAGATAAAGCCAAGTGTAGCTGCTTGGCCTTCGACCATGAAGCTATCCTGCACAAAGAATGGTCAATGATATGATCTTACGTGTCATACCCAGAGCGCCAAAGTAAGTACCTTCAGGCTTATCGGAAGGCCATGGAACGGACCCATCGGACGTCCCTTCTTCAGAATGTACTCGTCGAGCTCCTTGGCTCGTTCTATTGCCTGCTCGAAGAATATCTCGGTCAGGCAATTCGTCTACAAAGCTAGAGGTTAGACTCGGCAGTGACTAAGTTGAAGCAGGAGAGGGTGAGAAGCAACCTTACCAGCTGCTGTGCAATCGCCGCCCGCTTGCAGAAAGCGGTAGTCACTTCTAACGAGGTGATTTGACGAGTTGCAAGCAATTCAACGAGACTTTCTGCACTGTATGTCTCTGTGACTTCAATTTCTCTTGGGCTGAGAAGAGCGGTCCTCCGCAACAAGTCAAAGGCACTAGTTGAAGCGTCTGGACGAACAAGTTCGGTCAAGTCGCTGGAAAGTTTCCATGCTGGAGGAATTCGTGAGGCACGATCAATGAGCTTTTGATCTACTAGTGCCTGCCAATCCTCCGTAATAACCATTTTCAAAGCGTACAAATTGGTTAACAGATGGGTAGAACTTGAAGATGAGAGGGTGTATTGGAGCGAAATCAGATTTCTCTTGTAGAATGAATGAACCTAGCACATTGTACGACTTTATATATCCTTGAGACTGGAGATCAAGCAGGCATATTCTATTTCATCTGTCAAGGGTGGGACCTGTTGAACATAGTACCTAGGTACGTGAAAGAATATAGATATCGCCGAGGTCGTAATTACAACTGATTGGCTTCTATAAGAATCGCCAAGGAAAATGCGCAAATATCAGTAATTGGTGCCCGCGCCAGATTACTAACTGTTGAGAGCAGCGCTTTAACCCCTAGAGTGCCAAGGAATTTGCGCAAATATCAATGATTGGTGCCCCCACACGAGCCACAGTCTTGTAAGAACATGTCGCAATATAAGATAGTGCATAATGGAGTACCCACAGAGCTCAGAAGTATCTGGATATCTTTTGTAGCCGAGTGGTATTCTTTGCGACAGAACATTTGAAGGCTCTTCCTCGCACATCTAGCCTCACGAAATGGTCCGCATATGGTATTATCAACCTTGCCAAAGATCAAGAGCCCTAGGCTTTAGGAAAATGCCTTCCCCTCTCGCGGCTACTATCTGGCGCTGGTCAGAGTCTTGCTTCAGGAGTGAAGCATCTTCCTCGGTTTCGACTAGAGTCCCAATGATCATTGTGGGCCACGCCGCAAGGTAGTTTTTTGCCCATCTCACATCTAGAATCAGCTGGCGCACTAGTCCTAGCGCATGCTCTCGTCGTTTTGAAGGGCCAAAATTCGATTGGAAAGAAGTTTCTAAGCTCAAGCCATCCGGTAATGTGCTGAACCTTTCCAGAAGAATGGACGCAGCCAAAACGTACATCACAGTCGTATCATCCACCGGGTTCGGTTCGATGGGGACCGCATTATAAAAAACTGCTCTATCAGAAGAATCAAGCGGAAGTAGCCAGCTCTCCCAATCGCGCATTTCGTGCTGCAAAAGTGATACGAACTCGGGTATATAATGTGGCAGAGGGCCATGGCAAAGCCGTGCGATTCGGGCAATGAATCTGCAAAGAGACACGGGAATGCCCAGGATAGGTCTGTTGGCTATTGGAGGCGAGTCAGGAAAAATGGAACAACGAAACGCTTCATTCCAAATTTCCTCGTCAACTCGTAATGTCCAGTCACTAGCGTACCGGACCGAGAGCATGAATAGTTGGTAGAAAATACTTTCGGCAATCACCCAGTCGAATGGGCGGTTGATTCCCTTCAATGCGAGACGCGAACGCAGCAACTGCATTGCTCCGACTACATGTTGGGCGATATCTTGACCATAGTCGGACTCTCCGGTCAAATGCTATTATGTCTCAAAAATATGTCAGTAAGCACAGATTAGTAGCATGCTGGATTTCGATTTGGGTTACTGATGGGTCTAAACTGTCGATAGCACGCACGTACCCCGTAAAGATAAAGTGACACAATCGAAAGCATCAGCGCATCGTATCTTCCGTCGCAGGACGTAAAGAAATCTTTGGGGCAGGTAGCCGTATTGATACTCTGAAAAACCCGATAGACACTAGACACCGTCGCAGAGTAGTAATTGAGGGCCACTGCTTTCAGTCGCCTGTCCAGAGTGAGGCTGTATAAGTGTAGGGCGCTGCATGCCAACACGCCCGTCCGGGCTGCTTCAAATCGAATACTTAACTCTATCCCGTATGAGATGCAGTCACCCTGAAATGCTGGATGACCGGTGGTCAAGAATAGCAAGGGACAAAGCCTCTCTACAAAATGGGCCAGGAGGCGTGATTCCGAATCGGAGTCGAACACCCGCGCTATGCTCAACTGTCGGTGACATGGAATTGTACAGGGTAGTTCACATGGCGCAGTATCCCTATAGGCAAACCGTCCAGCCCTCGATGGCTCATGGGGTGATTCGTGGGACCGGAAGCGATGTCGTTTGTCTAGGTGCTGCCCTGCGGAAGGCCAGTGGCACTGACGGCCGGACTTGATGCATCGCTCACATCGAGGCTTGCTTTCATCGCATTTCTTACGCCTCCGCCTGCCTACCCATTTGAGTAAGTATCTCTTCGCTCATTGCATACAAAGACCGCTTACAGATCAGACACCCTGTCTTGGTTCGCAGCATTGCAGCAGGCGTATCAGAACAGATTGTAATAATGTTGAGTTTAAGGGACTTGGAGAGCTTGGCTACATAATCTCCCAACTAACCAACTAATGCAATACCACGCTTAGTCAATCATTCATATCATTGTAGCTCACTTCCTAACGTATTTAACTACCGAGTGGTCCACCCTATCTAAACGCGTAGATCAATTAGAACTCGTCTTCTTCAACCACCTATCATGTCACCAATCCGCGCTCAAAGCCCTATCAGTTTAATAAAGCATCTGATCGAAATCTGGATTCATCAAAATTTGGAGACCCTTGGAGACCCCAAACTAGTCTAATCAGGCACGTATTTAAGATATGTATATCATGGTATGGTAAAAATTACCAACTTTAAAGTTTGATAACCTTACCACTTTTGGAAATGAGGAGAGAGTCGGAGAACGTGCGAGAGGGAGGGGAAGAGGGTAAGAGGCATGCTATAGGCGCCCGGCCAGGCAAGGTGAAAAGCGAGTGTAAAAGGGAGCTATTTTCGGCGTTGTTTTGGTGGCAGCCGCTAGACATCACGGCTGGAAGATGATGATGATTGACGAACAGCACTAGGTGAGTGCAAAATAGTGATGGTACCTTGACTGTGGGTAGTGAAGCGCTGGCTCGCCTTCCAAAGTTACGGGTGGAAGTGGTCATTTCGGCGTCATTTTCACAGGTCCTCATATCCTAGTTGTGAATTTTGTTCATCCAAGAAAGACTATCTCGAATTAGTTTTCTGCTATGCCACTGAATTGGGAGTACTTCAAGCGTGAGGGGAAAAGAAGAAATCTGTTTCCATACCTTCCCACCCCCATTCTCGCATCACAGTAAGCCAGTGTAAGCGGCCCCGGATTGTCTTCTCAAACTCGATATTTTCTAACGGGGATACCGTCGAGTTTCGTCGGGAGCTGCTGCCAACTACCCCTCTGGCAGTAGCCCAGTCATCTGCAGTAGATAAAATTCCGTACGAGAGCCCGTCTTTCCCAAGGCCATCGCACGCAGAGAAGCTTGCACGCCCGACAACGCAGAAGTGCCGTCGCTGCTTCTCTGCCTCGAACGCATCGCGACGAGCCCACACCTCCCGCACAACCTCGATACACCGATCTATAGAGCCCAACATCAAGCGGGACTGCACGGCTGTCCATCGATCGAGCACCCACTGCCGGTCCTCCTCTTGGTCGGTCTCACACCCGGCTGCTAGCAGCGGGAACATTTGGATGATAGTCGTCCGCGAGCTCGGCGGCACGGTCGCCAGCAGGATGAGAACGCGTTTGGCGAGGTCAGAGGCCGGTTCGGACGGCATCTCCGGGACGGCCTGGTGGAGGTACAGAAGTGTCGCCCAGCGGTAGGCGTGCGCGATCTGGATACTGTGCTGGACTTCGGAGGTGGGGTCTTCCGGTGGCTCGAACCACGCTGGAGGCTCCCATTGCTCGACGAGCCGTTTCAGCTCGATGGCTTGCGAGACAAGGGAGAGGGAATTGGATTGCATCTTGCGAGCGCGCTGAATGAGTCGTGCCACGCGGTCGATTAGCGGAAATAAAGTGGTGGCACACCCCATCAGGGGATCGATCTCGTGCACTGCATCCCGCGGGTGTTGGAGGATGGAGACGTTCACATTTTGGTCTCCACAGCCTTCCCGCGAGGTGAGGTGCGCAATCACGTCCATGTACAACCAGGTGTTGTAGAGGAATCGGACACGCTCGAGATCCTGCCCCGTGATGCCGCTTTGTAGGCCGTATCGGACCACCTGTGAGACCAAGGCTTTGGCGCCTCGTAAGTGTTGGATGCACGTGCGCGTGTGTTGGTCCCAGGTATCGGCGAAAGCAAGGGCTAAGCTTGTGGCTAACGCGGCGTCGGCTCTCATGTTCTGGATGTCTTGGACCATGTGGGTGATGCTCTGTCGCATGTGATCTACCCCGTGGACCCGCTGCGCTGGATTCTGCTTGCTGGAGTGAAACGCGGCCAGAGCGAAGATGGCATGATATAGGGCCGGGGTGTCCTTGGCGAGTGGCCAAATCAAGGTCCGCCAGGGGTTTTCATGGACCCCGTCCTTCACGGAGAGGATCCCACAGGTGAACCGATCGAACTGGATTACCAGAAGCTCTGGGCTACCGGTGCTGAAGATCGGCTCCGTGAGGAAGCTCGGGACTGTAGGCATCGTGGAGATCGTTGAAGTAATATCTGTCGTAGGAGTATCCAGGGCCGTGGGTGCGGCAGACTGTCGGATGATCTCGTCGATGTCATCGTGTTCTCCTTCGAGGAGAGCAGAAAAACTGAAACTTTCTGATGCTGGGGTGCTTTCTTCCGCAGAGCTGCCTAGGGTGCTCTGGTCAGGACTCACCCCGAGCTCCACACCCGATGGCGATAGATTCGATAGCCATGGGCACGGGTCTGATGAGATGATCTCCGGCAGCAGCGGAATAGGGGCATCATCTTTGAAGCTACCTAATCTGGATTCATCAAGGCCATCTGCCGGGAATGGGAAACTATCTTGCGCAACCGAATGTCGCTTGGAGTGGCCATGGGAGCCCTCCAATATAGGTACACGCCCATGAGTGGATGCAGACAATCGCCTCAAGTGGCTCGGTTTTGCCGCACAGGGTTGATTTATTGGTGCTAGTCTGCTGGGTTGCGCTGTCGACAGACTGATACTGCCATTTCTGGACCGTGATGAGGTAGCTGGATAGACAGTCAGTGACTGGGGCCCCGCGGTATCTAAATTGGTTGAGCTGACTTCTTTGAGGTTTCGCAGTGGCAACCTTGCCAGCAACGTTTGTCTCTTCAAAAGGGCGCCATTTAAAGTCTTTCTTGTATCCCCCACATTCCACATTGCGTTTCTTACACTGCAAGCACGTGGGCTTGGACTCATCGCATTTTAGCCGTTTAGTTTTGCAGGTGGTGCAACCTGAACAAAGCGATTAGCTCTCCTCCATGGCTTCTTTTTCTAACAAAGGATGGATTTGACGGCATACCATTCCTGCTTTTGGATTGTTTTGGCTTGTTAGTTACCCCACTCACCGGGGCTTGGCTAGAAGCCGTTTTCCGGATGGAAGTAGACGCGGACAGAGAAAGCTTCCTGGAAGACGAAGCAATAGGAGGGAGGGGGTCTAGGATAGCGGACGGCGACGGGATCTTGATGTTCTCCATTCCCAGTTGTGAAGCGATGACATCGGTACCGTCAGTGTGCGAGCAGACATGGAATTGGGCTCAATACTATACAAGTAGTGTGCAAGGGGTCTGAGAGAGCAGGAAATTAACAAATAAAAAAAAGAAATTCTTTTTTGGCTCCCAAAAAAAGCAAAAGATGGCGGTGAGAAGGACAAAGAATAGCGAGGTGTGAGGGGCGTTCTTGTCCCTGTTCCTTTCTTTTTCTTTCTTATTTAATTGGCAACGATCGAGCCAACGATGGAGGAGATAAGAATATACAGTGAGGGGGAGCCGTTGATCCACGACGACGCCCTAAGCGATAGATAGATAAATCGCCCCGATAATCTGTCGGTGATCCGAGAGCGAGCTTAACGGTGAGGGGAAGAACGTCATGGGCGTGATAAGACAGGCGCTAACCCCGTCAACTGCGGAAACTGCTGCAGCGAGTTGGAGGCCGGAAACTCGCCGATCCTTCGGTGGGCTCGAGCTCAGGTGGGATGCGACTGGTCTGGACTGGGCCGGACAAGACCCCGGGCTTCCATGGGTAGTGTGAAAACTGTGTCAGGTTGGAGACGGACTGGGTCTCTTTTATGCATTATTTGATCATGGATGGAGGGGCGAGGAGGAGACCTGCAGGACGAGGCAAGAAATGGACGGACGAGCTGTGGTTGCTTTTTGCCCTTCTTTTCTCTGCCTGATTCTACCCTCTTGACTTTGACACCACCACCAGGAAGGACCATGGATGAGAAGCGGAATTGTCATTCTCACTCGCGGGAGGGACTTGAAGGCAGTCAATGAGATGAAGCGGGAGACGCCACCAAGGAGGGTGGTAGCTTTGGGAGGGGGGGAGAGAAAGGTGAGGAACTCCCCGCGTTCCCATTCGATCAGCTCGCAATTCTATTAGGTAAGGTAGCCATCGAGGCATACCATACCTTATCCATGATGGTCCATGATGGATGCCAATGTCATCATATACAAGTAATGCGAGGGACAGTTGACCACGGAGTACTCCGACACGGATCATGTTGCAACTCCGAATCTTGGTGGAAACCCTCCGAGGAATCCATGGATACGCGCCAATGAGTAGGCCAGGGCAAAGTGGGACAGAACCATATATCGAATGAAGCATAAAGGAGTGGAGGATGTTCTATTCTTGGGAAAGTTTCAACCACGGGAAGAAGTCCGACTCGTGCCTCTTCCACGTGACGGAGGCTTCTGCAGCTCAGCTGTTGATTCTGACAGTCCGAATATCTACTCTTCTTCAGTCCACCAATCCTTTTGTATCCTTCCTCGTCATGCCTTTAGTTTGGGACTGGTCGAGATCTCACGTACCAGCAGGGTGGGTCTTGGTCTTCATCTACAGTCTAGATGGGTCATGGACATGTCTAACGCCTGGCCAATCAATCAATCAACCTTGCAGGAGGAGCCATGCTTATTGTTGTCCTACCATCCACGGCGTGTAAAACATGTTGTGAGACGGACGAACTGATCGATTCTGATTGCCTGACAGGCCATGCCGTTGGTCCGGAACTGCTGAGGAATACGAGGCTGGATGAAGTTTTGACACCGGCCAAGCTTCATCAGCCATCAACCCCGTATGACTTGGGCATGGTGATGCTGCAACTGAAGGCTATGGTCGTCATCGGCGGCTACTCATCATTTTCGCCTAACTAGAAGGGGGGTTGAGAATTGGACTGGACAACACGCATCTACCTGGGATGGTTAAGGGTGTTCATCTCATGGACAGACCATGAGTTGGAATAAGTGGATGACGTGGCTTGACTTCCTTTTATATCTTCTATTGCTTGTTTCTCTCTCTCTCCTTTGTTGCCTTTTACTTGATTTCAGCTTTTTCTGTTCTAGTTTTGTCACTGGTCAAATTTCCGACTTGTAGATTTGCTGGTCAACACGTGGGTCTACCTGATGACGGCTAAGATTGAAACACATACCCTGCCTATCAGAATGTCAAGCATCTGCAGTGCACTTACGGATCTTAATTTATTCATCCAGTTGAACACTAGACGGGATAACCGATTTTCTCGTGTTCATGCCTAGGTTATAGTGTGAATTTTGTGTCAAACTTATGCTCGCATGTATACCGCCACCCCACAGGATATTGCTTAACCTAGAAAACACCCGGAGCCATGCGGTGGGTGAGCTCTCCCGACCCCGAATCGGCGTCCTAGAACCACAAACTGTGCGGTTCCAAGTGATTTCTGAAACTCCAATGCATCCCCATCACGGAACGCGCGGACAAGACTATCCTGTGTTTTCTCCCAGTCCATAAAGCCAAGCTGTTTGACATTGTCCTCCGTCAAGAGACGCTGCAGCACCTTGTGTATCGGACCGCCCTCCTTGAACTTGCACGGTCCTACGAAAGGATGCTTGGTGCGATTGTAGATCTCCTCAGTAACGAATGGCTTCATGGCATCCCGCAGGATTTCCTTCTCCCGGACACTCTTTGAGACCGGGTCATACTTCATCTTCAAACTGGGAGGGATGTTGTTCGCGTACTCCGTCACGTGGTGGTCAAGGAAAGGAGGCCGCGTCTCAATCTGATGGATCATGTCGATGTTGTCGCCAAGGTAGCGGAGGATGTAATTCGCCAGGATGATTTTCGTCCAAACGTAGGATGCAGTGTTTAGCGGATGCCACTTGTTCATGATTTTATCTAGAGTCTGTCCGCCTAGACTCTCCGTGAACAAGGTATCCATGGGTGTCTGTGCGACATCACGAGCCCACGCTGCAAAGGGGAGAACCATGACATGAAACATGCGGCTCGCTATTGTTGTGTGATTAAGCATACGCGCAGTGGAGGGCGGGGTGTTGTTCGCGAAGCTCGGGTCGAACTTGTGTGAGATGGCGGCCAATCTCTGTACTGCCTGGTCCTTCATTGCGTCAATGACATCGCTTTCGGGGAAAATGGCGGACGGCCATGATGGGTCTTTCTCAAGGAGAAAGTTCAGCATGAAGTCTGAATATCCCGAGAAATGCTCGTCGGATCCTTCCCCTGTTGGTCTGGGTGTGAGTTTCGTCTTATAGCGGTGGTCACCTCGCGCAGATTAGCTTACCGGTCAGAATAACCTTGAGACCCTTGGCGTGGGCAGCCTCTGCTACTGCCATTCGTCCTGTGGCGTTCACATTTGGAACAGGGGTTTCGCTGTGCCAAACGACATCTTCGAGCCTGGAAGCAATGGCCTCTTCGTCCATTTGTACGGAATGAAAGTCCACGCCCAGCCACTCGGCAGTTCGTCTGGCGATATCTGGGAAGCCTCGTCAGACATGGCTGCAGGAGGAATAGGTTCACTCACCCGACTCATCAAACCCGCTATCTTTGTCGAACTGGATAGTGAAACAGCTCATTTCTGAAACCCGCCTACTAGAGTCATTCCCTAGGCTTTCCCCTTTTTCTATAAGACTGGCGACCATGCCGGCAATAGCGGAGGAATCTAAGCCGCCACTCAAGTAGACTCCCACGCCCACATCGGCACGAAGGCGGATCTGCACTGATTCCAGCATGAGTTCTCTCACCTTCTCGGTGACCTCTTCTTCAGTCTCTGGGTAAAGAACGTTCTGTCGGGATCATAAGCATGATATCACAGGAAATTGGGATAAAACCTCCTACCTTGTCAGGGTACTCCAGATCCCAGTACGTCTTTACTTCAGGCGGTCCAAACCCCTTACTGATCAGATACTGACCAGGTTCGACCTAAGCAACAATGAGTACTCATCAACATAGACCAAAAGACCACAACATCAACGCACCTTATACACATCCTTAAAGAACGTCCGATGTCCATAAGCCCAAGCCAGTCCAGCAAGAGACTTGACATCCCACTCAGGCTTCCACCCATACGGCAAGAACGACTTCATCTCCGTCGCGACTAGCAGCCGATTATCGACAACGGTATAGTACAACGACTTGACCCCGTAGCGATCACGCGCCGAGAAGAGCAACTGGCGCTCCGCGTCCCAAAGAACGAGGGCGAACTCTCCCCGCAGCTTGGAGACAAACGATATCCCGTAGTGCTTGTACAGGGCGATGACAATTTCGCAGTCGCTGTGGCTTTTGAACGCGTATTCCTGGCTGAGTTCTTCCCGGTATTTCTCGTGGTCATAGAGTTCGCCATTGACGATGGCGTGGATCGAATTGTTCGAGTCGTGGAATGGCTGGTTTCCTGCGGGACTGAGATCGATGATAGAGAGGCGGACGTGACCGAGGCCTGGAGATGTGGTTTAGTGTGTATGCTTTAGTTGGGTGGAAAATGAAGCATGACGGTCACGATTGAACATACCCACTCGTAAGTCTTCACTGAGCCACTGGCCGCGTGCATCAGGACCACGGTGTTTCACTAGCTCTAGACTGTCGTCGATTTGCTTGCTTAGAGCTTGGGCGTTGTCTTCGCTATTCCGTGGGGTATTATCCCCACCGAGTCGGAGAAATGCTGTCAGACCACACATTTCAAAATCTTTCTGAATAGACGGTAGACAGGCCAACTAGTATGGATAGTCTCTGAAGGGGAAAGATCCAAGTGAAGAGTGACCCGAGTGAGGAGTTAAGTATCACAGAACTTTCAGACAGGGATGATGACCAGCTCTAAAGAGCCTTGATATCCCTTGCTTCAGACGCGACGTGCTGATCTCACTTTCGCAAAAACGATCTGACAAAAGTTGGATGAAAAATGACTTGGGCTGAAATGGCACGCTGGCTGCCTGCCCTAGATGGACTTCATCAATTAGACTTTGGCCAATACAGTCAGAATTATCTGGGTGCGTGGACTGTACATGATGTATCACACTTGCTGGCACCAGTAGACAATAGCCATTCGCACACTTGCTCTGCACTGTGGGGTTTGCATGATAATCATTTCTCATAAGGGATTATCAGTGATTATGAATGGGTTTGTTATTGCGCAGTGCTAGTACAGCTTCCTCTGTGGATAATGTGACTTTACTGGTGCATATGAAGGTTTATGGCATTGGTGGATCTACATTATTATGTGAGATCGAGGATAAACCAAGCATAATTGGTCTTGACATTGAGTTATGTATGGACTCACCTTTAATATCTATACAGTCACTACATGCTCTGATCACCAGGTTCAATTTAAGGAATCAAAGCATTATATATGAATGATTCAACTACAGTGACTAGAACCAGTCTTCTCACCCATCACATTCACTTCATCGCCACCATGTTGTCCTCTTCCCACTACCATAGAATTTACTCCCCCCAAAACCAAACACATCTCCCATCTCCCAATCTTCAAATCCTACAACACAGATCCCAAGCCTCCTCACAATGAACATCACAGTCCCCATTTACGCGCAAGGCCCCAACTACGCCAACCTCCGCCATCCCAAGTCCTTCCCCAGATTCACCACCCTCCCCGGCGATCCACCCCCAGGTCTCGAAAAGGACGAGTGCGACATAACCTACTACGACCTCCATGAAGTGGCAGACGACCCCGACGCCGACCCCATCCGCCACTGGTGTCTGCTAGCTGAGATCCTGGCATTCCTACGCTCCGCCGAGATAACAGTCATCATGGTACGCGACAAAGTGGGCCGCATTGTGCCGGTCAAGGTTGAGACGGAGGAGTATGAACAGACTTTCCCGGTTGAGCAGGTCGTGCCGGGACATGCTATTGCGCTGCTGTACTCGGTGCGTGAGACGTATAAGTCGGCTTTGATTGTCCCCGTTGATGACACTGAGTGGGTGAAGGTGAGATCTCCTGCCTGGGATACCACACCTGTCTGCTCTGAGACATGGCGAGACTAATAAGAAAGGTATTGCAGATCTTCCCCGTTTCACTCGGTGACCTGTTGAAAGTGAACGATAGCGTCCAACTCTGGCCAGCGCAGTTCGCGATCCACACCATGTGCTATGTATGTGAGAAGATAGGGGATCCGTCGCGGCGGTGTTCGAAGTGCGGCATCATTGTGTACTGCAGCAAGGTTAACGGAAGATGAATTCATTCCCCTTGTGACTTGCGCTGACTGCATGTGTAGGAGTGCCAGCAACAAGGCCAGAACGGTGCGCGCCATAAACTGGAGTGCCAGATTGTTGCAGATGAGGACTTTCAGTTTATGATGACTGCTAACTGGCGGGTTTTTGAAGAAGATTATTACTTCTTTCCTACCAAGCGCGAGCCACTATTGCCGGGGGCGTTGGACCATTATTACTAAACTGAAACTATCTGAATGGATAATCCAGTCGGAGTTGGTTTTAGGCTCGTGTGAACTGAATATCTTGTTCAATGCTGTCAGGATGCAAAGCGGGTGGGCGATCGGACAAGGATGGTTTTTCCTCAATCATAACTATTCAATTTGAAATTAGTTGAATTATACACGCCCTGTTCTCATTCTCCGTAGCTACCCTTAGAATAGGAATCGACCGTATCTCATGCCGATGCGGAGGGTGTTAAGTACGGCTTCCCCATGATCCATAATGCGGCTGGACTCGGCATTCCGACAGTCTGGGGTCGGCGGGGATCTTCAGTACACCACGAAAAAAAATCAAACATAATAATAAAAATAGAAAAGAAATAAATAAGAAAGATTATAGGTCTGTATCATCATATTGTAGGATATCCTGAGGAACATCCGATAATCGGCATAAGGGCCAACGGAACGTGGGGAAAGCGGCGCCACTCAGGCCGAGGTTGGGGCGGCGATCGGCCGTCATCCTACTTTAATAATACTGGGGAAATGAACCGAGCTAGTTATTCTCTCCATCGTCACACCCCTCTCATTCTTCTTTTCTCCTCCACTCTCCTCTCACACCTCTTCCTCCCGGTGTATTCCTCTCCCAAATTCAATTTCATTCGCAATGTTGCGATCCATTCCCCGCCAACTCCCACGGCGCATCCCCGTTGCTCGTGCCGCCCTGCGCTCCTTCACAAGCGGTTATCCGCGGATGTCGCCATCACCGCTCCCGGCCGTCCAGCCGCCCGTGTCGACCGTTCTCCCCTCCGACTCCTACCAGCTCCTCCCCCTGGCTGAGAAGGCCGGTGCCACCGAGGATGCTCTCTACGAGCAGCAGCTGAAGGATGTTGAGGCCTGGTGGAGCTCCCCGCGGTACGAGGGCATCAAGCGTCCGTACACCGCCGCCGACGTGGTCTCCAAGCGCGGCTCCCTGCAGCAGACCTACCCCAGCTCGTTGATGGCGCGGAAGCTGTTCAATCTGCTCAATGAGCGGGCTGCGGAGGGAAAGCCGGTGCATACCAGTATGTGAACTTCCAGACGGGAAGATATCATCGAATAGCGAACGGAGTTCAATACTGACATCGATCAGTGGGTGCAATTGACCCCGTGCAGATGACCCAGCAGGCCCCTAACCAGGAGGTCCTGTACATCTCCGGCTGGGCGTGCTCTTCGCTGCTCACCTCGACCAACGAGGTTTCTCCCGATTTCGGCGATTACCCTTACAACACCGTCCCCAACCAGGTCCAGCGATTGTTCAAGGCGCAGTCCATGCACGATCGGAAACAGTGGGATACCCGACGGAAGCTCACGCCGGAGCAGCGCCAGTCCACACCCTACGTTGACTACCTGCGGCCGATCATCGCGGATGGTGACACTGGGTATGTTTCTTGGTTTTGGACCCTAATATGAGTCACTAGTGCTGACGGTTCTTGTAGACACGGTGGACTCTCCGCCGTCTTGAAACTGGCCAAGCTCTTCGCCGAGAACGGTGCCGCCGCCGTCCACTTCGAAGACCAGCTCCACGGTGGCAAGAAGTGCGGTCACTTGGCCGGCAAGGTCCTTGTCCCCATGAGCGAACACATCAACCGTCTGGTGGCCACCCGTTTCCAGTGGGACCTGATGGGAGCCGAGAACCTGGTCATCGCGCGTACGGACTCGGAGAGTGGAAAGCTGATCAGCAGCGCCATCGACACGCGCGACCACGAGTTCATCCTCGGTATCGCCGAGGAGGTGGAGCCGCTAGCGGAGACCCTGCAAGCCATGGAGCGTGAGGGCGCTGCCCCCTCGGAGATCGACGCCTTTGAGCTGGACTGGGTCAAGAAACACAAGCTCGTCACGTTCGACGAAGGTATGTAATCTTCAATCAATCCATCCGTCCATGCTAACGGTGTTAGCTGTCGACGCCCACCTCGAAGCAGAGGGCGCCCCCCAGTCCGCCCGCGACGCCTACAAGAAGCACGTCCAGGAGCACCGCGACCTGTCCATCTCGCGCCGCCGCGTCCTCGCCAACGACTACTCGAAGACGCCCGTCGTCTGGTCCTGCGACAGCCCGCGCACCCGCGAAGGCTTCTACCACTACAAGGCGGGTTTCCCGGCCGCCACCAAGCGCGCCCGCGAGTTCGCCCCCTACGCCGACCTCCTGTGGGTGGAGACGGGCGATCCGGACGTCGCCAAGGCGGGCAAGCTGGCCGGTGAAGTCCGCAGCGCCTTCCCGGGCAAGAAGCTGGTGTATAACCTGAGCCCGTCGTTCAACTGGATGGGCCAGGGCTTTACCGAGGAGACTCTGAAGTCATTCATTTGGGATCTCGCTCAGCATGGGTAACCCCCCCTTTCTTATCTCTTCTCCCCCTACCAGTCGAATGACAGCTAATAAATTGTAGATTCGTCCTGCAACTCATCTCCCTGGCCGGCCTGCACACCAACGCAACCATCACAACGGAACTGTCCCGCGCCTTCAAGGACGAAGGCATGCTGGCGTATGTGAAACTGGTGCAGTCGCGCGAGAAGGAGCTCGGCGTCGACGTGCTCACCCACCAGAAGTGGAGCGGCGCGCCGTACATGGATGGCATCATGGGCGCTATCCAGAGCGGGAGCAGTAGCAGTAAGAGTATGGGTGAGGGGAATACCGAGAAGGGTGAGTTTACCTATAGAGATGGGTTTGTTGAAGAAGGGCATATGCTAACGTAATATAGGTTTCTAAATTGGTTGTAGGATTCCATCCTATCCATGATGTAGATGTGTTGTTTTGAAAAAGGTTTTGCGATATTGACGTGACATACTCTAGCGTGTAAATAAATACAATGAAATCAGCGAAATATGAATCAATAAAATAGCACGAAGTAATTAATCGTCTCTTCACATGGCCGAAGCTGCACTTACCCATAGTATCCAGTGATATAGTTCGTTACGCTTACTGGTTGAAATGGTCATATGGCCGTCAGGTACGGAGTACGGACGTATGTGTGTATGATAATGGATCGGCGTATACGGTGTTGTGGTGATGGTCGGCTTTGAGCCAGTATAGATCTAGATATGGGTATAATACTGCATATAAATAAAGCAGGTATTATGCATGGAGTCATAAGCATGGCAGCTTTCTTCAATCCACGAGTCTCATAGGATAGTTAGTTCCTTCTTGTGTGGCTGACCAGGTAGTTAATTGTTCAGTCAGATAGTAAGTAGTATGATACATATTTAGTACCTGTTTTGAGTATTCAGAGAACTAACAGTGTCTGATCATTAGGTACTATACTCTATACGCAATAACCCTATTTCTTCTACTAGGTAAGGTATATATACACGAAGTAAATAGTATTCGTATAGTTTGTGCTGGTAATTACTGGATAATAAAGTATTATATCGATTTAGGTTTAGCGTATATCGGTGTATATATGTATTGCTCTCATCATGCGTCACTGTTTTCTGGGCTCGTCTTCACTGCTTTCCTTCAACCTTTACACTTCGTTCTCGTGGTTTTATTTTTCTTGTAGACCTTGTCTTGTCTTGCAGTGAGGTATTTTCCAAAGGATATAAACTATAAAAGAGTACGCGAATAGCCAGCCTCCAGCCCTGTATAGCGAGCCCGCCCTTACACTCTCCAGCGTGGTCTACAGTCAACAGTCAAACAAGAGATAACTACATACAGTAGCTAGCAGTTTTACTCCCATAATACAATCAGAGTGACACATTCCATCCATTATGAAAATAAAAATAAAAAATAAAAAAAAAAACGAGCAAGAGCCCTCTCTCACCCCCTCAACCCAAACCCATCTCTCCCAATAGCCTCCACAATCGCAGGTATACGCCTCCCCACAAACTCCTCCACTTCATCGCCCAACCGTCCCCACAGATAGAACTTATCGCCGGACTTGAAGATAGTGTGCCATCCCTCGGTATCCTCCATCACTGGCGTTCCTGGTTCAAGATCGTAGGATTGGGCGATGACTTGCCCGTTTGAGTTGGGGCCGTTCCATTCTTTGCGGAAGAGGGTTGGGTGGGGTGGGTTGGAGGTCCATTTTGGGGGGTCGGTGAACTGGCTATTTACTCCGTGAGGTGATAATCTTGGTTAGGGTATGGATAGAGTGAAAAACGAAGGGAAGGAAGGGAAATAGAAGGAGGGAGGCATGTTGGCTTACTGCTGGTAGAGTGGAGGTGTTCGTATCTGTTCATGACTGGGTCTGATCAGCCCCGGAAAGTGGAGTACAGGTTCTGCAGGGAGGCATTATCGCAAGATAGACAGACCCGCTTGTCAGATTGTTATTGTACCTAAAGTAGTTAGTAGTTAGGGAAGAAGAATGGATATCAGATTAAGAGACTCCGACTTGGTATCATTACTCAGGTTGGAGTATTATAACCGAATACACATGCGTAGGTACTGGTCGATCGTACTGGGTTATACCGGGACGGACGCGGTTTGGTACGTTTGTTTACTTCTTTAGCCCAGTTTATACTCTATAGATCAATCTTTCTATAGAGTATTTTGTTTAATTACTTGATGATGTATTGTGTAGTATATGTATGCCGTGACTCTGTATATCCTGTTATCTCGCACTGTATGGAGTACTCTACATTATCAATACGAGTTTATTTCCATTCTGGTTACAGATACAGGTATCCCGCCTAAAGGACCAACGAAATAAAACACGAAGCTCAGAAATTGCACCGGAAACCGAATACCCTACACATGTAAAGAAGTGAAATAAAATAGTCAAGGTCAGTGACCGGCCCCGGCCACTCCATGCGTATGTGGGCACGCCTGGAGACGGAAGCGCTGGACAAAGATGTCAGGACCAAGCTGAAATGATGCGCAACCGACGAGATCAATTTCCCCATCAAACACATATTACTCGCTCAAAAACGGACAAACAAAAGCGCAATCGTAACACATCAGTTGACGCGGAACGAGTCAAAGATCACTGCCTTGGTTAGCTATGCACGGTCATGCAGTGGTACAGTGGATACTGTGCTAACCTTCTTGGCCCCGGCGGCACCCGCTGCCGATCCACATGAGCGTGTTCAAGAACGCGTAGCGCTCGTCCCCGGTCTCCATCGAGATACAGACGCGGTACTTGTACGTGTTGGGGTTGACCGTGTCTGCCGAAGTCTGGTCGTTGACCTTGTCCAACACGTCCTTGGCCCCCGTCAACCATCCTTGGGTCTTTGCGACAATGAATGCGGGCGGGTCGTCAGCGGTCTGGAGCAGGTAGTTCGCCTGCAGGTTCGTAGCCGACTCTCGCGTCACGATCTGGGAATCTTGTCCTCCGGGCTGTGGATGGTTAGCTTCATCTGTCCATATGCAGATCCTAATAGCAAAGGAAGAGCTCACCAGAACGATACCCTTGCCCCACCGGCCGGCCCACTGCCCCCCAATAAAGGTCACCCAGTCTCTCTGACCCCAAATGCTTTGTCCCACGGCGACCTTGGGGTTCATCTTAATGCTCATCCGGAAGTCCAGCTCCAGAGAGGGCGCCGGGATCTGCAGCGAACGCGCCACGTCGCCTTCGGGGAATGTGTGAAGCAGGTTGTTGGCGGGGATGGAGTCCTTCATAACACTGAGGTAGGTAGGACACTCAAGAAGGTGCTGACGCTGTCGGCTGGTGTTCTTGGCGCGAACCTGCTGGCAGTAGATGCATTGCACGGACAGACACTATATCTCCCATCAGCCTCTAACATTCCTTCCATATCCCGCCGCGCGTCTTACCTTGTCTTCCTCCTTGGCGCGGAATTCGACAAACGCCGCATGTACGTCATCTAACGGAGGGGCGGGGAGACTGGTCGAGGAGGTCTTCGGTTTGGACGACGACTTGGGGGTGGTCCGTTGTGCCTGCTGAGAGGCCGAGGAGGCGGAGGGCGCACCCGTGGGAGCGGTGGTGGGCAGCGAGGCACGGCCTTGCATGTTCTGCAGCGGAGTCTGCATCGGGGTGGCATGGGGATTGACGCCGTTGGACATCATGGGCCCATTGGGAGTGGGCAGGGCACCGGGGCCCGGGCCAGCGCCTGGTGCGGTGGCCGCGGGGCCATTCGGGGTGGGAGGGTATCCGTTGGTCGCGGTGATGCCGTTGGGGGTGGATTGGGACTGGGCCTGGGGATTGGCGTGGCCACGCAGACCGGGACACTCGAGGAGATGCTGCTTCTGGCGGGACGTGTTCTTCGCACGAACCTGCTGGCAGTAGATGCACTGGACGGAGAGACACTGAGGGACGAGGAAGGAGAAGTGTTAGAGACGCTGGGTTGAACCGCGGGATGAAATATTACGAGAAATACGGCAGTCAGTCACGCACCTTATCGTCTTCCTTGGCGCGGAACTCGACGAACGCCGCGTGAACTTCCTGGTCGACGGTACGACCCATGTTCACGACGAAGGGATTGAATAGATCGATGGTGGGTGGATGGAAAGAACTAACAGGGCTAGAGATTAAAAAGAGATGAAATTGGGGAGGATATGATGGGATATGATGGGGGGGGAAGAGATGGGTTTTGGGGGAGACTCGAGGGGAGAGGGTGAAAAGGGAAGAAAAGTTGAAATGAAAGAGTTTTGACGGGGGAAGAACAAGACGAGACGAGACGAGACGAGACGGAACGAGACCAAGACAGGACAAGACAAAACGGGTCAGACTTACATAACTTACCGCCCCTATCATTTGATTCATTTATTCCATTCGAGTGCATATTAGCCAGTTGATTATTATCATACTTTCTTATTGATTTGTTGATAATAAATCATTTCCAAAGAGAAATATTAGTGTATAATTAATACTATATCAATCCTATGAGTGTTGAGGAAACATTTGAAATACAATCTCAACCTCCAGACGCGTACAGAACAGACAACAAGACAGCACAGAAAGTCTAATCTCGTCACGCGGCTTCAGCCCCGACGCCGTCTGCTCTTTCTTTATGCACTGATATATAATACTGACATCAATATCAAATCAACTCAAACCTGGAATACCTACTTACCTAGATTCTATCATCTCTAAAGACCTACCACAACAAAGAAGATAGACAACAAATACGTGGCAATACGAATACGGCTTACCGCGTATGGTCTCCTCCCCATTACGGTTCGGTTCCGCATACCAATCCACTCGAGTACTCCGGATACATACAGTATGGAAAATACTGCTGGTCGGATGTAAGAAACGTCAGGATATTGAGTATTGAGCGACAATATTACGACATCGATTTGCGAACTCCAAGCTGGAACAGACCTTTCTATGTATGGTGAGGGTTCAGTGTTGGAGGCCCAGCTCAATCACCCCAGGGGTCGCAGATCGTGGCTGTGCTTGTTCTTCCTGGTGCCTGATAGCCTCACCGAGGAATGAATCGATCCTACAGTGAGCCAAGAAACAGACATAACGCAGTATAGGTGTAAGATAGGGTCTTTCATCCAGGGAATGAACTGTTTTAAATATTGATATCTCTGCAAAGCACTTGGTTCAGGGTCTTGTAGAATAAGAAGGCAGTGAGGGTGTTATCCTGTTGCCTTTTGCCTGACTCGCGCGGTATTTATACTGTTCGTCAGCCTGCAATGATCTGCATGGTCTGATATCATAACTGCCTTTGTATTACCGCGTGGGTGCGTATCCATTTTCTATAGCGTTCCCATTTGAGGAAAGCGTGTTATACGCGCAGCATTGAGGTGCTGGTCTATAAAGCTTGCGTTAATACTGCACAGTCGATCTTAAGGTATACCCCCGGACTCTAGGTACGCTGGCAATTTAGGATAGAACGATCACCTGGTTCAAATAATCATCCGAAGACAATCTGTCAAAGAATAGCTATGATGAAAGACAGGGCAAGACGCGTGCATGACGCTGATCATACGCGTCGAGTTTAGACGTAGTCATTGAATTCTAATTGAACTGATATTATTGATATGAGAGAAGGATCCAGTCACCCGGGTATTATCCTGGCAACCCCTAGACCATTATATGCATAGCAACCCATTATCCATTATGTCGCATCATAAGCACTTTTATCATGAATCATTTCCTTCTACTACCCCTCATCCAAGCCAGCATTATCCTGCCGCATAAGGACTCATCTTCCGCAACTTCTCCCCATACCTCCACAAAAAAATCGGCGCCGGAATCCCCAACCCCAACGCAATAAACGCCAACAGACTATTCCCCCACCCATACTGCAACGTCTTGTACATATAAGGCGCAAACAACGGAAACCCGAACCCCGCCAGCGAGCGCAGAAACGAACTAGCTGCCAGGGCGCTGGCCGCAAACCGCGTGTATGCGTCGACCGTGTACGTCTGGATACACTGGAAGGTGATGATGTTGCCCATTCCGAAGAGGAGCGCGCCGATGTTGGGCGCGATCCAGTGGACGTGGTTTTGGGCCGTCCAGCCGTAGATGAAGAGGCCCGCGGGCAGAATGACCGCTCCGATGTAGAGGAGGGGAGTGCGGAACTCGGGACGGCCGATGTTGTTGTTTCGCGCTTTGAGGCGGCGGTAGGTGCGGTCGTTGAGGGGGGCGCAGAGCTGTGAGCCGAGCCAGAAGCCTAGGCCTAGGGAGATGTAGTTGAGGCCGCCGATGCCGGTCGACTCGTTGTAGTAGTCGGGGCTGGTCCAGAGGGTGGGGAAGGTCGAGAGGACGAGGTACATGATGCCGTAGATGTAGGCCATGTAGACGGCGATGACTTGCACGATGGGCTGGGTGAGGAGGAGGCGGAAGGGGCGGACGAGCGATGTGCGGAGGACTTGAAGGAGGGTTTTGTTTTGTCGTTCGTCTTCGGTTTGGTAGGATTCGTCGCCGGTGTCCTTGCGGAGCTGTTTGGCACGATCGCGCAGGATTCTTGGGCCGTACGTCTCACGCAGGAAGAAAAGACCGGCGAATTGAATGAAGGCATCCACGATGGACGTCGAGTAGAATACCCAGCGCCAGGTGGTGTTTTCGGCAATGAAACCGCCTGCAATGGGCCCGACAGCTGGGCCAAGGAGGGGGGCGAGACTGTAGATGGCAATGCTTTTGCCTCGCTCTTCCGGGTGAAAGCAGTCAGACAGAAGGCCACCACCGACCTGTCACTGGTTAGTTTGTCAACAGCTGTCGGGGCGCGTGTGGCACTCACAGCGAGCGGGGCACTACCACCCAACCCCGAGAAGAACCGGCAGACAATGAGTTGTGTGGTGGTCTGCGAGACGGCACAGCCAATGTTAAACACAAGGTAGACCAGATTGGCGAGTTGAAGGACGATCACCCGGCCGTAGATTTCTGATAGCGGTCCTAAAAACAGCGGACCAACAGCATAGGCCAGCACGAAAATAGACAGAGCCATCTGAATGACGACCTCGTCATGTATCTTCAAATCTGCCGCCAGAGACTGCAGGGCCGGGGCAACCATGGAGGACGCAACGGGCGAAATGAAGGTAAACATAGAGACAGTGATGGTAGCCGCCCATTTTTTCTTGTTGGTCCAATTTTTGGGGTTATCTGGGTCATCGGATCCGCTCCACGTCACCTATTGAGCGTTAGCCAGTATCATAGAATCGTTGGTAGACAATGGCCACTTACCAAGTACGGATCGCGCTGTGATCGATCTGACCGTGCCGTCTTGGACTTCTCGAGTCCTTGATGCGCAGCAGCTCCTTGTTCTAGATCAACATCACGCTCATTGACGATACCGTCTCGAGCTTCCAGGACCGGTTCGCTGCCATTCTCGTCGGTTGAATCATGGCTGTGATAGACAGATTGGTCATCTAAGTATCCAGCGGAATACACCCTGTCTATACGAGAGGCACTGGCGTTGGAACGAGATCGCAGCCTCGACTTGATTGAGTGAGCTAGGCCAGGACGTGACGATTGAGTGTCTGTCCGTGAGAGTTCCGACTCAATGTGCGAGTGGGAGGTGGAGGGAGAACGAAGGGACTCCGACTTGCCATGATCGATCTCTTTGGACATATCCTGTAGTTAGTCACGAGTTCGTTGATGATCAATACTCATGAGACCAAATCGAAATCCAATAAGTACCAAGGTGAGATGGGAATAGGTATATGGTCTATCAAAAAAGGGGGACGGCATGGCATTATACCCTAGAGAAAAGATTGCCCACCGGTGATAAACGACCATTAACCCCGACCAGGACCAACAATTGCGGAGATCATGGACCCCATCATTGGCCAGGCACAGAAAGCTTGACGTGGAATTTTTCTGGGTCGAGAATTGAACTCCACCAAACCGGCGTGAAAAAAAAAAATCCTCCGCGGCGGCTATGCCCGCAATGATTGGAGTAATCACCAAGTACAAACGAGGTCGAAGGCTGAACAAATGATGATGGAATGCAGAGAAGGCCCCAGGCATCCAGGCCGGGTCTTCGGCACACGGATCACGTGTATTACTATCTATAAGGGCCTGAGGCCCGTTGGTCGCCAATGATATCGGGGAATTGATCGTTGGTCGTATCCCGTTCTCCACTGCTGCACGCGCAGCGTTGGCATTCCGTGGACGAGACCAGGGGTGGTAGATTACTTACAAAGCACGAAGGCGTCACATCTTTGCAATTAGTGGGAATTTCCTGCTTCCCTTGCAAGGGTTATGAGCCGGGTGGCAATTGCGCTAATATTAGATCCCGATCCTCAAGGGTTACATTGTTGAAACTAACAGGCATGAAGCACAATATACTGTGGCCTTCTATCTAAGAAATATACCATGGCAAGACCTGTATGCCGATGCACATGCATACGCCTAACTAACCTGCCAACTGCCTGGCTACCCAACCAGCTGCAAAAGAATCAGCCCTGCATGGCCGAATTGTGAAGATTTAGGCTTCAATACATACCTAGGGAGTCTCTCAGTATCACACTGAGTTGGGATGACTCACAAATTGTCACCCCGAGATTCGTGACTAAAATTTGTAACTAATTTGTCAAGGATTTCAATTGCACGGTCTTGTTCTTCCACAGCCAGCTTTTTATTCGATTAGATATACTAACCCCGAGTATTGGTCATAACCTATGCGTCACATATTGAATGCAGGTAATAGACCTAAAGCATAACCCTTCAAAACAAAGTCCCATCTCCAGAATTGAGTATAGGGCTAGACTTAGTATCAGGCCGCTTAGCCGCGGCAAGCTCGCGGCCAGCCTTCCAAGACCCAGCCTCCAGCATCTGCGGCAGACTCAACTTCACACTGCCAAACCGACCACTGTTCAAAATCCGCTGGTGCAGCACATCAAGCAAGGCGACCGTCATCGCACGCCACTCTACAATCTCATCACCTCCAGCACTGAAACACGGCAGGCCACCACTACTCCCCGCGGCAGCCAGGCCCCTGGTCTGTGCCTCCTCTTTCAGGGTGAGGACGCCCATGTCGACGAACAGCCCGCCGTTGCGATACTCCGGTAGCCCGGTGCCGAGGTCTGCGTTTTTCCAGGTCGCGGATAGGAGCCGTTGGAATGGTACCATCAGCGAGTATGCGAGCCACTGCGTGAGCTTGTGGAATGGCTGGATGGACGCTGTTTCGGCGTCGGGGTCGGACTCCAGTGCTTCTGATAGGACCTTGAGCGGCCATGCGTCTCCGATGGGCTGCCCGTGGACGCGAGTGCGGTCGCTGGGCCAGACGGGGATGAGGGTTCTTTGCAGGGCGCTCCACAGGTCGCTGTAGTCGATGGTTGCTCCGGTGCCCTGCTTTAGGAGGTAGTCTGTGATAGAATCAGATTAGGGGAGTTATGAGGACGGCAGTGAGCGTAGAATAGTACTGATAGTAACATACCGACCAGATTCCCCGGACGTCCAGACGGCCCAAACACATCCTGGAGTCTCAGGAACGAGGCACCCAGTCTTTGAAGAATCTCTGTCCGGGCCGTCGCTCCAACCAGAGGGTTCGTCTCGTCGTTCACCTGAAATCCACGTCGGATAGCCTCCACCGTGATATTCCCCAGCGCCTCGCCTTCAAAGTCGTCAGCATCTACCAACGCAACAGCACGAACCGGCCGTATCGATATAAAAACCCTTACCATGAACGACGTCCTTCCTCGCGGAACCCACATTCGCAAACGCCCCGTCAAGAAACATATGTAAGGAGGCGACGGCAATCCCCTCACTGCGGGTATAGACAGCCCCGCTCTGCGCCTCCTCATACCGCCAAGTATCCCCCGCCCCCGCGTCCAGCAACACCGACACAAAGAAGAGGTCTACCAGACTGCGGACCTTTTCCTGCGCATCATAGCCTTGCTGATCCCACTGCTCGAGCAGCTTGCTGATGCGGTCTACCCCGCCTACGTTGAAATGCTGCCACCGGCCGTGCGGCGGGATGAGGTTGTACCGGTCGGGGCCGAAATCGCGCTGTGCGGTCAGTATGGTCTTAATGGTACGGCTTGAAGATGTACAAGTGAAGTCGGTTAATGCACACCTCGATGATGTCCATGACATATTTAGCGGTTTCGTCTAGACGGTCCGCATGGTAGTCAAAGTGGTGCAGCTTGCCCTGTTCCGCGAGCTTGTAAACGATGTGGGCTCTCTCGCGGACGACTTTCAGGCTGAGGAGGTACTCAATCTTGGGATCTAAGGTCATTTTGGCGATGAAGAGACTCGATGATGTGTATGGACAGAAAATGGTGTAGATGAAAGAGTGTCAACAAAAGATGGCTATGGTTGCTGATTATCTATCTATCTACAGCTGGCAAAGCGGGGCTTATCGGGGAGATAAGCATGTTATCTTATCGGATAAGATAGCATTTGATAAGATAAAGATTTTGCGGTTATCTCCGATATAAAAAGCTCGCGTGACCGTCATGATTGATCAAAATAACTAGAATATCTTCGCAATTGCGTGGTAAAGATAGAAAGTACAAGACCAGGAACACCTTTAAATCCAGTAGAGAGTCACTCAAATTCTGAATTCAGCGTTGAAAAATGGCTCAATAACTCCCTAGAATTTCTTGAATCACTTTGGCTACTTAGCCGAAAACCAAGAAGCCAAGACCGTTATTCATCCTTATCAAAAGCCTGTCAGAAATAGCCAAGGACGAGAAAAAGTCATGATCGTGTCCTGCTTCGAGTTTGGAAATATTCATCATCTTGATGGAGAACGTCCGACGGCTGTATCACAAATGTTTCTTCCCGGACGAAGCGACTCGGTGGTCCGCAAAGTAATGTTAAGCCTCGAAAAGCCACCACGTATTAGACAAGCGTTGGCTTGGATCCTTTGAACGTAATGCACATTGTTGACACTGCTGTAGAACGGTATATTGCAATCTGTTCCACCTATACAGAAATTTCGTTCGTTCGTGCGTGGACAGGGCGGGGTGGTTGGCCAGCGGGGTTACTTCCTCTCGAGACACCCATTTCTGGAGAACTGGCGAAGGCGGATGGGGTCTCATTGGAGGGCTCACCATGGTCGGCGCTGTGGATGCGGTGGCAGACGACCCGCTATATCCGTCCTGACACCGGGGATAGCGGAGATGAGATGCGCTCTCAAGATTAGCGCATCAATGGACTCTATTATTAAGAGCCTGCATTGCCCATATCTATCTATAAACATAGCCAAGTGAGAATATATCCAAGAGAAGACATAATCAAGGGAGACATGAAGAAACCACACATGCGGAATGAATGCGACGAATGCTCTGTACCATCAAAAATACCAGGGTAATCGCATCGGTAAACAAACAGAAGGTTATAGTGACCAGTCCAGTCCAGTCCATGCCAGAGATCCACCACTTGATTCTTCTAACTGACAAATCCAATTCTAAATCCGAACTCCTAGTCTTTATGACCATCTATATGCGCCCCTCCAAAACTGTTTCCATTTTAGGTGCCGTAAAACCGATCGCCGAAATCGCCAAGCCCGGGGTCGATATAGCTGGGAAAACGGTTAGCGATGAGCTGCTTGATAAGAAGATGAGGTAGGCTTACTTCTTCTCAGTCAAGTCATTATCGACCACAGCGGTGACGATGCGAAGAGCCGGGAATCTCCCAGAGATCACAGCCAGACCCTTCTTCGACGCAATGATATTAACGAGGACGATCGCGTCCTCGGACACACCGGACTCAATGAGAGTCTCGAGCGCTTTGATCACGGAGCCTCCGGTGGCCAGCATGGGCTCAAGGACAAAGACGACTGTTTTCCGTTAGCGGGTAGAACGAATCGCAGTGGGGAGTGGATTGCGACGTACTGTCGTTGGCGATAGTCGGCGGCAGCTTGGAGTAGAAGATATGCGCCTGGCTGGTCTCCTCGTCGCGCTGGATCAAGAGCTTACCAAAGCTCAATGGACCCCTGGATGCTGTCAGTGTGCGTTTCCAGTTTGACGTCTCCCACAGATAGCATTGAAGGGTGTACTAACATCCATGTCTGCCGCAGAGCCTGCTCCATGCTTGCCCCGGCGCGCAGGATGCTGACGCCGCACACGCCCTTCGTAAATCGGAGGCCTTCATATGTACTGTTGATAGGGGTCTGAATAGGATATGCTTCCACGGGCACGTGGTTGATGGCTTAAAACGGGGCTAGTGTAAGAATCGGACTTGGAAAGAAAATTTCGGCAGGGCGATTCTTACCGAGTCCGATCAATTTGGGGGCCACTCTCTCCACGGCCGAGCAGAAATCGCGACTATCGGTGTTGACATCACGGATGATGGTCATCAGACTGAGTAGTTGGCGATCCTGCTCGAGGACTGTGATGCGGTCGAGGGATTTAGGAAGAGAGTGAGCCCCGTTGGTTGCTGCCATGGTGGTGGATGAAGAATGCAAGTAAGTAGGAAGACGACGGCGAATGAATGGTAGAATGGAATTGAGCATGAAAATTATAAGGGACCATCTATGGAAGTATGACGCTGCAGGAATGCCGTATTAGTATAGAGCAGCGGACAGGATGATCCCGGAAGAATTCTTGACAAGGGTTTATTTTTTGTGTGTTTCAGAAAATTGGTGGGGAGATTAGATAGCGATAAGAGTATTTTATCGGACTTGCCACCGATTGAAACTGATAAGATAAAATTCTTGGCTGTAGTTGGAGATTTCCTTGGCTGTTGCTCGCGTTCTGGAACTGCTGTTCTCGACAGCAACCACCGATCCTCTTACTTCATTGCACTCGTACATGATGGACTCAGACCGATCAGCTGTTCTTGTTGCAATCTGTCCCGTTTCCATCCTTGACCTGTTGTATTACCGAAACGCAGTGCTTGGTTGACCGGTAAGGGCATTGCCCCACCGCGGCCGACCCCGCTGCGCGTCGATGCCAGTTGAATTTTGATGAAAATTTTCATCGGCTTGTGCGAGACTGGTATGAAGATTGGATTCTGCAATCTTGGAAAAGCTTAACCTTTCAGCATAGAGCTTCTACAGGATTGTAATTACTTGGTCAGTGCTTTAACAGACCTAGTATGCTCAGTATCAAGCATGGTCGAAACCCTTGGTTTCCAGTTGGTATTGGTAGCGACTCAGCCTCAGAAATTGGCTGCTGTTGAACTCATCAAGGGTCAATGGATGGGAGAAGCGAACAGCAAAGAATAATGAGTTCAATATACTATTCTCAACTTCACCAAAGAAGTTATAGCATCCTGCAGTGGAACGCGACTTCATATGTCGAAAGATATCTACGTCTCGAGGCCATATTTTGAGCGTAATATACCACCTTTCTTAGTTCGACGTTTGGTCCCTTGTTCCTATCCTTGGGGACGGCTATTCAATTTGCTGGTTGTAGCAGAGCTTGTCACTGGCCCATGCTTCGTCTCGACCCGAACATTGACCCACTGCTCGGGGGTATAAAGGGCTCTGCGTGAGACGATCGTAAGGCGGAGAGATGGTCGATATTGCACAGCCACTGGTTTCTACTTTCTGTCAGTGAAAGTCAAATTAGCGAGGCCATTGGATCGCCTGTCCCGGGAATCTTCACCTAATTTCAGGCTCAACTCTAAAGTTAGAAGCCGAATCATGCCAAGATCTGTGAGGACTATAAGAAGATGAAGGTGGATCTGTCAATGCTTGACCGACGGTGATAGGCTCAGCCGAGCCCACTTCCGTCGCCTTATCATGGGGCTTTATGTAATGGCACTCTCGCCTTATCGCTATCGGAAACCATCCGCGATTGATAAGAACGCCCGGGGACACAGCATCGTTCAAGACGGCGACCTTTCTTCTTGATGTATTTTATCCCTGTGTTGATATAGAAAATGCCTAAGATTGTGGAGTCTCCACGCCATGTGCGCTTCAATCCCTTTTCTAGGGGTTCGTCCAGCCCTAGCGATGATACGGTCTTATCGTTTTGTGTGCGAGATCTGGAGGTGCGTGATATCCGACAAACTAGATAAGACTCTTGATATACTGCCTGTCCATTAGACTAAATGACAGATATCTAGAAAGATCAGAATGGACCAAAAGCACTGTCCAACACTCCCAGCAGCATTGCTACGCCGGATGGCGCTGCGCCCCGCAGCAGACCGTCGGTCACCCAGCTGTTCATCAACAATCGACACGTGATGTCCAAGTCCAAGAGCTGGACAAGTGCCTTGGATCCTGTAGGCACTCAGTAGACTGATTTGGTGGACGGGCTTGCTGATGTCGGGATAGACAACGCAAAGACTTCTCTCGCGCGTACCCAGCAGCACACACCAAGAGATCCAGAGCGCTGTCGATGCCGCTGATGCTGCCCAGCCGGAGTGGGCCGCAATTGGGTTCCAGACTCGCAGGGAGTACCTCCTCAAGCTGATCGATGTGTTGCGGGATATGTCTCCGATGATTGTGAGACAGCAACCGGAAATCTGAGTCGAATGGACGCTGACAGCCAGCAGGTGAGCTGTCTCTGTCGCGAAGTGGGAAAAACGATTTCCGACGCGGAAGCAGAGGTATTTCGGGGTCTGGACTCCATACATGCCGCCTGTTCAATTGGCCCCGAGATGGCAGGGATGTATCTCGGGTCTGACCCCACGTTGTTGCAGACGTTTTACGAGCCGGTAGTGAGTATTCCTCCAAACAAGGTTCTAGCTAGGGTCTGGGTTGACTGTGACGCGGCAGGGCGTGTGTGTGTCTGTCACTCCGTTTAGTTTTCCGTTCATGATCCCCCTGTGGTCTACGCCGTATGCACTCATCACTGGAAACACCGTGGTGTTGAAACCCTCCGAGAGGGCACCATCCGTATCAGGCATCTTGGCGGAGGCTATGATCCAAGCCGAATTTCCACCGGGGGTGTATAACATCCTCCACGGAGGGCCATCGACGGTGCAAAATCTCGTAACGCAGCCCCTTGTCCAGGCCATCAGCTTCGTAGGCTCCGAGCCAGCAGCCAATGCAGTTCACGACCTGGCGCGTACCGCCGGAAAGCGGATCCAGGCCGAGTGCGGGGGCAAAAACCACGGAGTCGTCTTGGAAGACGCTAACATGATGTCAACGTTGTTCGCGATCGCAGGAGGGGCCTTTGGAGCTGCCGGTCAGCGGTGCATGGCACTCAGTGTGGCGATCTTTGTCGGAAGCACCAGGGAGTGGATCCCGAAACTGGTGGACTTGGCTCAGTCTATGGTCGTTGGTAGTGGAAACGATAAACAGTCCAAGATCGGGCCCCTGATCGACCGGGCGGCAAAGACCAAAGTCACCGAGATGATCGATCGGGCAGTCGAAGAAGGCGCCATGGTTCTCTTGGACGGGCGCGACGTGCAGGTGCCGGACTATCCTGACGGCAACTTCCTAGGCCCGAGCATTTTGATCGGCGTGGAGACGTACATGGAATGCTATCAGAATGAGATCTTTGGACCGGTGCTCATCTGCATGCAGGTTGATACACTGAATGAGGCGATCGCACTGATCAACCAGAATAAATACGGCAATGGCTGTTCCATCTTCACGAGCAGTGGGAAACACGCCAGTACATTCCAACGGAAGGTCAACGTGGGCCAGATTGGAGTCAACATCCCATTGATCGGTATGTCCTAGTACATAATAGTCGTGCCTGTGCTAATTATGACAGCCCCGTATGGCACTGCTGTGCGAACTAGCAACAAGGACTCTTTTCTAGGTGGTAAGTACACAGAAATTTGGGAAAGATCTCAGGCTAACGATGCACAGATCGGCATACGCCCGGCAAAACATACTGGCCTTTCTTTACCACCACGAAAACGGTGTCCTCTCGATGGGATCAGGTATGAGAACACGATACAACGAATCGTGAGCCAGGGAGGAATTTAGGGTCAGACTAAGTTCCCCCCAGCTTAGCGGTGACTCACAGTGATGACCCCTTGTCAATGACGTCATCCCTCGACGACAAACCCACCAACACAGCAGCTCTCCACTTCCGGAATTCATATAACCACCACGATCAAGTCAAGTTTATCCTGCAAACCGTCAATCATGGCAACACTTAATCAGGCTCGTCAATCGAACGCCTCTCTCAATGCCTACCGTCCCGACTACGTGGCCGTCTTCGTCGGCGCGACCAGCGGGATCGGCGAGGCGACCACAAGAGAGCTGGCGACCGTTGTCAAAAAACCGACCATCTATCTCATCGGACGCAACGCGACAACCGGATCGCAGATCGTTGACGAGCTCAAAGCCTCCAATCCCGAGGGATCATTTCACTTCATCCAGTCAGACGTGTCTCTACTGAGCAACGTCGATGAAGCGTGCTCGAAGATCAAGGCCCACGAAAAGGCGGTCGATCTGCTGTTTCTATCGACCGGGCATTTACACATGTCCAAGGAAGGTATGCATTCCTCTTCCCCCTTCACCCACACCCAATAGCTCCAATATTAATAAAAATGAACAGACACAGAAGAAGGCCTCGAAAACAACCACGCCCTCCGCTTCTACTCCCGCATGCGCTTCATCCACAACCTGCTCCCGCTGCTTTCCGCCTCGACCGCGCCCCCCCGCGTGGTAAGCGTCCTCGGTCCCGGCTCAGAAGGCCAAATCGACGAAACCAACTTCGACCTGAAAAAGTACTGGTCATTCCTCTCGTCCGCGAAATACGCCGCCACACTGAACTCCCTTGCGATGGAGCACCTCGCTGCGCAACACCCCTCCATCAGCTTCGTCCACGTCTTCCCGGGCATAGTCAACACGACTCTTCTCAACAAGACTGTGGGTGGGATTGTCGCGCCCGTGATTAAATTCCTCAGTCGGCCGTTTTCACTCACGTCCGAGCAGAGCGGTGTGTGGAATACATTCATCTTGACGTCGGCAGCCTATCCGCCTGCGCAGCCGAGGGATAGCGCTAGGGTTGGGGCGCCGCTGGTGGAGGGCGTCAAAACGGCTGCCGCGTCAACTGGCAAGATAGGCGGGGGATCGTATCTGGTGAACTACAACGGCGCGGACAAGACGCAGACGAAGCTCATGGCGGATTATCGAGCGAGGGGGTTCCCTCAGAAGGTGTGGGAACACACGCTGGAGACGTTTCAGCGGGTGTTGGATCCTGCGAGTGGCTGATTGTCTACTATCTCAGTGTTAACATATAATAAGTACCATAATAATGCATTAATCTAATTCGAAACATTTGAGAATATGAGCAACCTCCATCCATATACGAACCACAGCCTATGACATCATACCCTCTGAATCCTTTGCCTTGCGAACAGAACCGGCCCGCTGCCGTGATCCACTGAAGGAATATAGGACCGTGGCTGTGTTTAGCACCCAACTATAACTAGTGTACCAACACGATGATCAGCCCGGCATTACGAACACAGCCATGCAGATACTACTATGGACAAAGGTTATTTAGAGGTTGTCTCCCATCCCGGCTATTATAGTCTAATATTCGCACCCACACCCGGTCTCTCCTATTTATACATCCACTGTCTCTTGCTAAATTGACTAAAATCCACACTTATTTGAAAACAAAACAAATATACGAACCACAACCCATCTCCAGATCTGAGAACCAGGAGTCAAAATGCGCTGGAACATCGACCTCTCAGCCATCACGCCGGGTCCAGGCGGCACCGTCATGCTCGGCGAGGGGGGTATTGACGCTGCTGCAAGACGGTATCGCGAGCGTATTAGAAAGCAGCAGGAGGAGGCGGACGCACTGGCTAAGTTGAAGGATGGCGAGGTAAAGAAGGGTGATGATGCTGCGTCTGAAGTGACGCTGACGCAGGAGGGAGATGCAGATGGAGATGGAGATGCTAAGCGGGATGATCGGGGGGGAGTGGGGACGGATGGGTCAGTGGAGGGGCGACGATCTATTGCCTTAGAGGAGGAGACGGGGAGAGTAGGAGCGGAGATGAAGAAGGAGAAGGAGGATAAGAAGAAAAAAGGGTTTCGGGAGGCATGGAGAGGATTTAGGGGGGTGAGGTGATTTGTTTCTTTTATATCTGCTGTATTTCTAGTATATTATAAACATCAAGGTCTCCAGACCTGGATTATATACCCATCTGTGGAGACTCCAGTGTACTTGTGAAGTAGACTTACCTTGTTCATATCCTAATCAGAGTAATAGATAGAGTTCTCAGCTTGAGGAACATATTTCAAATAGTATAAGCTCGACAATAAACAACCTCTGCATTTGCATTATAGGATGGGGAAACTATATGTTGGACAAAACCACCCGAGGCTAGAAAGCTACATGAGAGCAGAAAAACAAGGCAGAAAGACCATCTTTAAACGAATACACCCATATAATAGTCAACATTTGTTGCAGTGCACGGCCGTGCAAGTTGGCAATACCGATAGAAGCCCAGTGATCAACAAGCAGGACCCGACACATGAAGTATATGATAACGAAGACAGACCAGCCGAGGAGGAAGATTTATGTCGTCTGCCAAGCCTTGCACCACAGCCTCTTACATCCAAAGGCGCAGCCGCTGCCGTAGTCATTGTAACACTCCCCGCTGATGGCATTCTGCTGCCACAGTTCTTTGACGCTGACGGTACTCGTCATGACAGCGAATAGAAGATCTCCGTCCCAGTCGCCCTGGTTGAAGGAAGTGCTGCCGCAGTTGAAAGGCCCTTCGCCGTATCAGATGCACTCGCGCTCTCGCCAGACGGAGCCGTCCTGATTCTGGCTGATTTGGTGGCTGCTGTATCCAACACTTCTGAACTTCTCAGCAAAGGATATCGCAGCTATGTGGAGGGTTTGTTTGATAGTATGGGCTTGAGACCATATTATGACTAGGTGGGAGTAGAGAGAGACTTTGGTTATTACCACAAGATTACGGTTAAGCAGGTGTAGAATAATAAAGCTAGGGACTGAACTACTATATTCTCTGCTTGAATATCTCATGTAGCAAGACGTATAAATTATACTACAAGTAGGGCAAGTTCTAACGTAAAGTATTTCTGTAAAGATTGTTGATTGTTCTATCTATCCATCCATCCACCCTATTCTCCATGTCAACTTGAACCATCCTTATTCCATCATGTAAAAAAATTACCATCGTGTGTGTGTATGTATGTGTGTGTGTGTATGTATGTGTGTGTGTGTATGTATGTGTGTGTGTGTATGTATGTGTGTGTGTGTATGTGTGTGGGAGGGCAAGGTGTGAAGAAAGTAAAATGATAAAAAAATGGAGATGTAATGTACCTACGCTGCACTTCCGTTAGTCAAGACAAAGACAAAGAAGCCAAGGTAACTCACCTAAAAAGTCGAATTTACAATCAAAATCGAAGTCGAAAGTTGAATATCAATCAATCGGAATCGTATACGGCATCGGAGTCCATCGCTCCCTCTACCACCCTACCCATCCCCCACTGTCGGCTGCCCCACGTCCCCAGTTCAAAGTCGAAGTCGAATATAATCAATCTGAATCGTAATCGTAAACGCAAACGTAAACGCTATCGGAATCGTATACGGAGTCCACCGCTCCCTCCACCAACCATACCAAACCCCCACTGTCGCCTGCCTCAAACCACAACCCCGGTTAGTATCTAAGTGGAATGTAAACCAAAAATTTGGGATTCCTCCTCTTTCCTCATTGAAACATGAGCTCTTTGTACCCCCACCCTCCCTCACCCGGTTGAAACGTGTCGTATAGTAGTGGTGTAAGTTGGAATCGAAATCGGAATCGGAACCGTACTCGTTCGCTCGCTCGGTTCATCGTATCGGATGGCGCATATGGGCATGTCGAATCGATCTATCATCATTGAGTCAGCAAAGACAAGGAAGATAAGGTGTGATGTGATAATGTGAGAAGGAAGATGTATCAAAGAAAGTATGAAACAAGACAGAAGACAGAAGACAGAAGACAGAAGACAGAAGACAGAAGACAGAAGACAGAAGACAGAAGACAGAAGACAGAATATATGAGAGACAAAAGACATGAGAGACACGTGACAAAAAGTTCAAAGACGCCTAGAGAGAGAACAGAAGAGGAGGAGAGAAGAAGAAGATGGGAGGAAGCAGGGAGCAGAAGGGGGTTTATATAGAAGAGCCCACAAGGTCAAGGCGCCCTAAAACAAGCGAGATCCCCAAAATCATTCACTGACAGAGGATTGACGGCTGGTAATGCGCTCGTTGATGAGAGAAACTGGGACGGGGAGTGGTGGATCACTGGCGCTGCTGTGGTGACTGTTGGGGATCACTTCCGTGGTGGCTAGATCAGGAAAATCACTGTCGACGGAATGATTTCGCGTCATGCTTAGGAGCTAGACCCAGATCAGATCAATTGGATTACTCCTGCAAAGTGATTTACTGATCTGGCGGTGGGTTGGTTTTACCCCAGGATTTGATACTGATCTGAGCTGTCTCTAGTGGCGTTTGGGAGATATTACCGCCCATATGGCTTATATGATCTCTACTATTTAAACAGCATTATAAAAGGCTCTAGTGGTACTCCAGATTCTGGTCAGATGGGGGGCCCACTGTGGAGCGGCCATGGTCGAGATGCTTCAGATATGACAGATGTGGGGCGGGTACCCTGGAGCTCCACTATTCCCTCTACATACTATGTTATGATAATGTAGTCGAGGGGTGAAGATAGAAAGGAGGAATAGGAAATATCATTCTACCATGCTGTGATTACTTGGAGTCAACTTCCCTAGTGAATTTTGAGTAAAATGAACCTAACGAACACATCAATTACTACAACATAGCAAAACTACACATCATACTCGGCCATACCTTATGGGCAGCAACTCCCTCAAAAATACCATACGTCAAGCCCTTATCAAGCATTGCATCCCCTCCTATCCGAGTCAAGAGACAAGAGACAGGATATAAACCTTCAAAGAAAGCAGATTCCTCAAACAAAAGCAAGTAATACCATCGTCTTTGATCCGGACCACACTGAATAATCTGACAGGCGGGGTGGAATCTAGTATGCCAACTCTTCCTTCACCATTGGCCGTGCGGGACGGCGACGGGGTTCTGTGGTTTTGATGTCTTTCTGCTTTCTCAGGCTAGGGCTGGATTGACCGACTGCATCTTCATCCTCCTCGTCATCATCGTCTTCTCCGGCCCGACTGGGTGAGCGCAATGGATCTTTCACCGACATCTTTGCAAATTCATCGGTGAGATCTTTTGCTGAGCGGGATTTACTTTGGGGCGTGTAGAGGCGCGAATAATGGTACTCATTGAGCACCTCGTCCACAACAGAAGGAGACCTTGGAGAAGTAGACTGAAGAAACGCTTGCTGAAGCTTCCCGTCCGGGCTATAGAGTCCCGCACCGGACAACCTTTGCCAAGAATATATGACTTCTAGTAGCGACTGCTTGTCGATTTGCAGCCACTCCCTGTGCCGCTTGGGATAGTGGGCGTGCGGACATATAAAACTGCGTCGGCACTGCGACAAGCACTTGAAGATCAGCTGTTCGTAGCGCGCAGCATTATCGATTCCAATCAGTGCAACAACGTTGATTGCCTTGTAGCACTTGAGATGGGATCGGAGTCTGTTTCTGACATCTGTCATGCTCACAGTCGTGTATCCAAGTTTGTAGTATCCCTCGAGGTTCTCGATGCTGAAGACATATAACCAGCCGCTTTTGATATCATTGGACCCCATATTTTTCCATAGGAGATTGCCATAAGAAGATTGAGGAGCTGCAACGCTTACACTTGATAATGGACTTTGTGGAGCTGTTTGCTTTGTCGGGGTCTCGGGTAGCGGAGGAGGAGTAGGCGTAGTCGCCCTGGAGCGCTGAGACTCGGGTGTGACTGACGGGGCCCTAGGCGTGTTTGCGGATTGGTGTTGACGCTCTTCCTCCCATTGTGTTACGGCTATCTGTACCATATTTCCATGCTCTTCACACACACAGAGCTTGGCGATCTCCTTCAAATATTCAGATTCGGATTTGTCGTTGGAAATTTCCGTCAGGCGTTCAGATTGGAATTTTTCGTCAATGCATTCCAAAGCGCTTTTGATGCTTTTGACGGACGCTTTGGCTGGAAGGGTGCAGCGCCAACTGTACTCCACGTTTCCCAATCCTTCCAACTCATCTTCTCTTTTGCCTTTATCTTCTTCTCGCTCTCGGTATACTTTCAGTATGCTGCTGCCAAGTACCGCACAACGTGGCTTTCCGTCGCGAGTAAGAATCAAATTCTTGCTCCTCAAAGGGACCACATTTGGAATATTCATAGACATGGTATCAGCCGCTCAAGTGACTGCGGCTTCTCTGGTCGCCAAGTTCAAAAGTGCGAGAATGGCAAGCTGGACTGAATCACCGCTGATAAATGCGGGAGTTAGTCTTCCTTGTTACAAAAACAATTGACTCGATGGATAGAGTTGCATTATATAGAGGGGAATCGTCCTCAAAACTACACAAGTGTAATCTGTATCATGGAGTGCCTTCTAATTCTACAAGGGCATGCCCCTGCAAGCTCACGCGGACTGCGGCTGAGCGTTGGGTATGATCGGCGGTAGAGACAGGCACGGACGAGCGGCAGGGGGCCATATTCATCGCTGTCTACCTTGCCAAAGCTGACTGGTGATCCTATTTAACCCGCACGTGGTAATCGGTAACCCCGACTCCTCATTTGAGCTGCGCCGTGGCGTGCATGACTAGTCTACACCGCCATCAAAAAAGGCTGTGGTTGGTAAACATCCACGGGAGGGGAAAGGGGACGACCGGGGTATGTTGCAGGGGTGTCGCTCTCAATATGGCACTTCTTCGACACTTGATGGGGCCTGCTTCGCGGTTTTTCTTCACCGGGAGTTTCACCTCATTGCAAGTGAGCGCCAGCCCTTGCCTAGAGCTCTAGAGCCAGTACCTGGATCCGCTTTCCACTGGGAAGCGCCTGGTTGTCGATTGTTCTGGCCTCGTGGGAGCATGGGTTAAGATCCGCCCCCACACTGATCGACAAGCGCTTGTATAGGCGACGAACCTAACAGTCATTTGTCCGTCTCAATGGGGCCGGACCGACGCGCTATTTCCAGGACTGTTGACGCAAAGCGCTAACAGCCTGTCAAATTTCAGCAAAATCTGGATGCTGGGATTTAGATAGTCGTGGTGCATAGGGGGGCTGAGGGAGGGGTGTTGGGGTGAATGGCCACAAGTAGAGAAGACGAGGCTGGTTTCATAACCCTGTTAGAACTGACGCTGCGTTTCAGACATCAGATATTTGTATGTCATGTTACTGGATGAATGGATTCTCGACACGAGCCCAGTGCTGGTGTTGAAAGGAACACAGGATCGAGTTCACACCAACGGGTGCCCGAGGGGAACCAGGGACTCAAGCCGACATACACTTATTAACACTTCGTGTAACCAGCCCGATGTGCACATAGATGTAGATAGTGACTGTAGATGCCAAAATAAAGCAAAACGACTTATGTCACCGTCACAGACGGATATGTCGGATCCACGACCCACAGGCCCTGCCCCTAGGCAAGGGGTTGTCCTGTGACCACTATCCCGCGACGTCCAGACGCATACACACAACGGATTTCCCCGACATTGTCTCGCCCACGAGGGATTTGACATCGGTGTTTGATGTGGATCGCTTCCCCTCACCTAATTGGACTGGTTTCTGTCTGTAGAAGTACTTAGCTAGGCTGAACATTGTGTGTCGATCGTCTGCCTGGTAGAATGGTCTACTACTCCATTTCAGGAGTAGACTGGGTGGTGCCACACACTGCTTATCCTGTGCCTGGATGATTGTAGGGCTTTCCCCCGTGGCTGTGGTAAGAAGCTGGGGAAAGAGTTCAGCCGTGGGAAGAAACAGCTGAACAACCGGGGAGCGTACATAGTGCATCACCTAGCGAGAAGACATTACTGGCCTGTCATTTATGCAGATTTATCCCTCTCCTTGGACACAATTAGCTTTTGTATACCATGTTTTTGCTCTCAATATTTAGTGACTCATTCTTTTGGGACAAAAGCACGTATCGAGGACGAAACGACGTCTATTCCCTAGCCTACCATGTCTACCATGACTACTATGTAGTAGCAACTTCCCCTTGCTGAGTACAGCTCATGCACGATTTTATGTACAGATCGACTAATATACACAACCCCATTAAGCACCAGCAGCAGCCTCCAACTCCCTTCTCTCATCAACCGTCAACTCACTCTTCGCACGATCGATTCTCACAAACGCCCCCACAATCACCAACGCCACCCCTGACAACGCAACCTGAAACCAAAACGCGGCACGATAACTCCCCCGCAATCCAAGCGTCTCAGTCTCCACCTGCACGATATCCGCAAACGCCAGCATCAGCGCGATCCCGAAATGCAGCGTGCAGTTTATCAGCGCGCCGGCGAGCCCCTGCCTCTCACGCGGGAGATTCGTCGTGATGAAGATGTTGGTCACGTTGAAACTGATATCGATGCCGATTGTACCACAGATCATGGCGGGGAAGACGAATGCCCAGTAGTTGCCTCCTGGGGGGAGGAGTGCAAAAAGGAGTCCGGAGCCGAGGTAGCCCAGACAGGAGATGATTATCAGGACTGTGCCGTTGAGGAGGTGTAGGATGAAGCCGCCTGTGGCGGAGAGAATGAGGCCCCCTACTGCCATTGGGGTTGCCCAGGCTACTACTTGGAGGGGGGTGGCGCCCATGAGTTGTTCCATGCTGGAAGAAATAGTTAGCAACGAGTATAGTGATAGAAAAAGCGAAAGAAAAGGGGGGGGATGAAAAGGGGTGGGGGGACAGAGAGGGAAGAAGGTAAGAACGAAGGTAAGAACGAAGGAAAAAAGGAAGGGAGGAAAGACTAAAGGAAAGAAAGAGACATACTATAAACAAGCATATAGGAGGTAAATGCCCAAACTCCCATACATACACAACAGCGCAATCACCAACGGCGTCATGTACTTGACAGAGAACAAATCTCCCGGGAGCAACGGGTTTGACACGACCCACCCCTCAACGTACGTCAGCGCCAGCAAGAGCAGCCCCCCGATGACGAGCGTGACATATACGTAAGGGGTGCGCCACTGGTCCGGTGCATGGGCGCTGTCAGCAATGGCGAAGATGAACAGCACGAGCCCAGGCACGAGGAGCGCAGCGCCAGCCCAGTCCATAGACGCCCTGGTCAGCTTGCGGGTGGCAACATAGTCGGACGGGATGGACAAATACGAAGACACAGCGGTGATAGCCGACAAGATAGCGCCAATGAAAAAGTACCAGCTCCAGGAGAGGAACTGGCCGCAGAGGCCAGAGAAGAAAATACCGACGAAGAAGCCGAGTGCGGCACATGCGCCGTAGATGCTAAAGACGAGGTTCTTGCGCGGCCCTGGACGGTAGGTACTTCCGAGAATCATGATGCTGGAGGGGAGAAAGGCGGCGAGGGCGAGACCCTGCAAGGCGCGAAAGACGAACAGCATAAGGTAATTCTGCGAGAAGCCCGCGATGAGGGAGGTGAGGGTCAGCCAGGCCATGCCGCCGACGTAGAGCACGAAGCCGCCGTACATGTCTGCCAGACGGCCGCAGATGAGCAGCGTGGAGGTGACGGCGAGGGACAGGGCCGTGGAAGGCCAGATAGAGAGCGCGGCGGGGATGTCCAGCTCGATGAGGAGGGTGGGGAGGAGCACATTGGAGCCGGAGATGTAGTATTCGGCTAGAATCTGGCTCATGAAGATGGAGAAGCAGAAGGCCCATTCTGACCAGGCGTTGGAGAAGACATCGGGGCGTTTGCGGCCCAGATACTCGATGGTCTCTGAGTCTAGTCGCTGCAGTGGTTGTTGCGAGTCGTCTATTCGCTTCTCTTCGTCGATATGGTTCTGTGCTGCCTCAGGCATGGAGCCATGCGCATTGAACGACATGATAGATGCACGCCATGGAGGGAATTCTGGGAGAGAATTCAAAGAGGAATACTGTATGATATATGACAAGCGGACAGCCACAGCTAACAGACAGCGAATCGCCGGGTCCAGCGGTGTGGTCCAGCCATGTGGGCGGCATCGAAATCTGCGGCCTGCTAGACTGTATCTCGTTAGAGAACTTCCCAGTTTGGAAGCTCGGGGGAGTGGGTCTTCTCCATCAAAATGGCCAACAGACACAGGTCTGAGTGGTTGGACAATGCTGTGGCCTCTGGGTCATCTTGGCGCACTTGTTCAGTTGGCACTTCGTTGTCTTGATTTATTTTGGTCTGGAGTCTGGACAGATGGGAGTCACTGTTGCTGGAGTAATGAATTGGTGGTTCAGTTTTGGAGGAAAGAAAACAGAGCCTAGGTGCAGAACACAAATAGTCAATTCACAATCATGATACATGTAGTCCATTGAAACATTAACCAAGGTGTGAAACAAAAAGTTTGAAAAAGGGAAAAAGGGAAAAACATAAAAAAATGGACTCGCCGGTAATCGAAACCGGGACCTTTCCAATGCAAATGGAATGTTATACCACTAAACCACGAGCCCAGATGACTAACAAGTTCTGACCCAGAGAGTGTGACATACAGCCTGCTTACATTTGTTAATTTCCGATGACCCGCAACAACCGTGTCTCTGCTCTTCACGGGCGCTGTCTATACGGCCTTCCCAGCAGTATTTGTGTTCCCTAACATATCATAGACTTATGGGTTAATTATTGGGATTTTACTCTATGACATATTGGGAAATTGTACATCTACTTGGTTTGACGATAGATACTCCAACAACCGACTTCATTGCTCTGCTATCTAGACCTCCACCTATTCTTACTGCAAGCTAAACCTATGATCGGGATGGATCCCTCCATACGGAGTAGATCTCTATAAACCACAGATATCTATCTCACAGCTCAAGACGACCAAACCGATCGAACTTCAAAATCATATACTCCTCCCAGCGAGTTTTCTCCGCCGTCACCTGTTCCCGCAGGCCCTCAACCTGGACCGACAAAGAAGCCTTAGAAGCCTTAGCCGCCCCAGGCGGCAGCACCTCCTGCTTCGTCTTAACAACCTCAGTCGTAGTCAAGACGCGACCGTTCGCGCCGATTGCCTCAGCTGACACGGCATGCACAGCCCTAGAGCCCAGATCCAACGCCGTTTCGAACCCAGTGCGCTCCGCCTCGCCGAGGAACTCGCGCGACCCGTACTGATCAACGGCCGCGTAGAACCGCCACACCTTAGTCTCGGTGTCGCCATTCCACGACACATACGCTGTAGTCCCATCGTCGTTGACCAGCGACACCAGCGCGGGCGTCTCATGCGGCAGTCCCGTCCAGTTGTACCGGAAAGCGCGGTAGTTCTCGACGCCGGCGCCCAAGTCGCCCGAGTCCATGTACGCATGGAAGATAGGCGTTCCATCCGGTCGGAACTCGGTCATGGCGCCCTCAGAGCCCCAGTTGACGAGCGCATTGCCACCAGGCAGCAGCTGGGTACTTCCCTGGCTCTTGGAGAGCAGGCCGTCAGGGGGCTGGAAGGCCTGCACGATACGCGCGGACCACGACTTCGTATCGACCTCGATGATCTTGCCCTGCGAGAACGGATGCGTGTGCACCTCGTGCCCGCGACCGTCTTCGGTGCCGTGCGCGGCGTTGTCGTACAAAGAGATGACTTCCTTCGAGCCGTCCTTGGACACGAAGCGCGCGTGGTGCTGGAAGCAGAAGGCGACGTTGTCGCCGAGCTGGAAGTCGGACTTCGTCCCGCCTAGGCGCCAGATGATCTCGCCCGTGGACCCGTCGATCTTGTGCACGGCGCAGGCGTCGCGCGCGGACACAAGGTAGTTGCCTTCGGAGTCTTTGTCGACGGAGTTGATGTGGAAGTAGTCCCATGCGTCGGAGGAGTTGTAGCCGGAGCCGGCTTGGCCGGGGTTGATGGGCAGGATGGCCTCTGTCCTGGATTAGCGGTGCTAGGTGGGTAATCAATAAGGCTAACGTACCATCAGGCAGGACATGCTCCAGACTGGACCACTCGAAGAGAAGCTCTCCCGTTTCAATGTCAAGTTCTGTGCCCGTTAGCGTTAAGAAACTCAGCGAACCCGGCGCGAATCTCACCCTGGATGATTGCATCCACGATCCACTGCTGCTCCGGACTCGCTCCCCAAGGGGTCAAATCCATCGGCACAGGCTGGTAGATCTGGATAAGGGCAGTCTCCTCGTTGATCACGTGGAACTCGTGCTTATCCGTAATCTTGTGATTGCCAGCGCGCAGCTCGCGGATCGTCTCATAGTGCTGGTCCAAGAAGGTGGTGTGACCATGACCATGACCATAACCGGGGTTATGGTCACCCTCAAAGCAAAACAGCACGTCCTTGCCCTTCCAGCGCGCCATCTGGAAATTGGTCGCCCAGATAGAGTAGTAGCTGTAGCCGGACCAGACGAGCTCGCCGTCATCGCGGAAGATATACGGTGCCGCCTGGCGGGGGCCGTGCATCTCGCCCGCTTTGTCGGGGAAGCCAGCGAAGGGGGCCACGAACAGGAGACCCTGTTCGACATCGGATGTCGCCGGGATAGTGATGTTCAGACGCGGCGGCGCCAAATCCGAACGCGACTTAAACTGCCAGTCGGCGGCTGCCAGCGAGGGCAGCAGCGCGGTGAGCCAGAACGAGCGCATGCTGAGTGCTGCGAGCACGGAGATCAGCCCCGGATCGAGTCATGATGTTGCGGAGAGGGTACATTAACCTTTGGGTGGTACTCTGCACTGGACCTATCTCAGGTTTTTACAATGTTTGTTGGGTGGGTATTCGTGGTGTGAGAGACAATGAACAAGTGAGGGGAACGGACGTTTTATATATGGCGGGGATGGTAATAATATGGGTCTGCCAAGCCCTAACTCTAGAATCACATCATCGCAATCCATCTTCCCCACCGCGATTCCTTGCCTATTCGGGTCCCCGACACTGCGTAACCGCTCTTACTGGACTGGCTCAATGTCTTGGTCTATGGTGCATTTCGGTGGGAAATGACATTATTGCGGGTACCAAGGTCCATGAAGGATGGTGCTGGCTGTCGTCTGGTACATCCAACAGCAGAAAGTATATGGGAAATTAAGGTAACCTTAGAAATTGGGAAGATTCTATAATTGAGGTCCATGGACTTGAAAATAGCCCTCAAAATCGGATGTGCCATGACAGAGCCACCAAACAAATCGTGAAGGCTTCTCTCCACGCATGAGACAATGATATGGTTGATATGGGCAATCCGTAATATATATACAGGGCAGTGATTGCCTATTAGAAAACGTTATAAACATTTACCACCTAGCTATAAAACATATCATAACCTCTTTGGTTTTCGCAAGTAATCCTATTGAAGAGACATGCGACCGGGTAACATGTAGGCTGCCTTAAAGTTTTTTGGCGCATTGATTGTTATTTTGACTCTCGATGTTTTTGAAACTATTCGTAACCTTTTATAGCTTCAAAGATTATTAATATTGTACAATTGTGAGACATGCATTCGGCCATCAGCAGCTGACCTATAACTTTCGCATGTAAATGACTGCTTTGACTCTGTGTTTTTTTGCAACCATTCACAACTTTTGCAAATCGATATCGCTACTGTTTTGACCATTTTCATCTGGCCTCTCACAAACATTATCAGTATTTAGACCACTTCATCATTCCACGCACGCTAAACAGCTTATTATCTGCAGCAAGCCCGGCAAAGAAAAGTACATTACCAGAAGCAGTCATGAATCCAATCCCAGCACGATTCTATCGTGTCCAGCACGATGGTTCCTATACGATTTTCGACCACGTGGATGGGTTCGAATCCCCAGGCCACTACCAGATGGCATATTCATTCTGGCTCAACAGGGGCAAACTGGAGTCTCATCTTAACTGGAAAGCTCGTTCAGACCAGCCGACTCCGTTCATCTCTGTATTTGACAACCTGGGTAAGCTATTTACGCGGTCAGCCATATCCAAATGTACCTCTTTACTGATCCTTCTCGTCTTCGCAGGTGACGCAAATGACCGGGCCCTTTTACTTCGCCAACGCAATACTGGTGTCTTCGTGGCGGAAATTGATACCTCGTCATTGCAGGGTGCGGTTCTGGATATCGAGTTTGCTGAAGGAGTCATTAAACTGCCTGTCTGGGTTAACGAAGAATCCGGCGTAACTATTGTATCCACTAGTGCGGTTCGAACGCATCTAGAGGTCGGTTTGAGTGTGAGCCAGGAGTCGGAGTGGTTTGCGCTGGATCACATCCCTTATTCTATGATCCGTGGCATCAGAAACTACTGATACTACACTCATCTTTGATGCCCTGCGGGTCAATTAATGAGTTGGTCTAGTCTATGGGATATATTTTGGTGCACAGATCAAGGTGACGATCGTCCATATGGGAGTGTGAAAACAAGTAGACTACGGAGCATGTGTGGGAAGGAATCTCACGTCCTACACTTGGGAAATTGAAAACATGGCCAACCATGACTCCATGACCATAAACCACTTCTAGGGCCTGTAATATGTGGAGTGACTGCAATCGGTCAACATTTGACATGCAGAGTCTCTTCCACACAACCTGTGTTTAAATCTTTAGCCTTTTCCATTCCTCTTCATAGTCTCCGGTTTTCATCATCATCGCCATTTTTTACTGATCTACCCATTGTTCTGCAGAACATCTATTCTAGTCGAAGCTAGTTGTATAGACTAAACTAGCTGTGCAACTATGGGAGCTCCAGGCTTTCTGATAACGTCCTGTCCAATGGCATTAGGTAGTGATATTAGTCGTTATTTTATTTTCTAGTGTTTTATTTGCTTGTGTGACTGGTGTGTCCTGTATGAAACAGCTGGTGTCACTTGTCTGGTTAGAGTGTCATACCTATAATGGATGAATGGTGGAAGGTCCAAGAAGGTCAACCTATTAGGTAGTGTCTACCACGTCGTCGAATGATTGTGTATCCGGTGCACGCCCGGCCGGCTTGGTGTGGATATCAAGACATTAGTGCCTGAAAATGGGTACTCACATTGAATTTCCAGGACAGGACCAGCCACCTCACCGATTACTACAGCAATATCGGACTCATATATTGAATGACTACATGTCTGCTCTACCAACGCAAATGACGATATTATATCAATAAAGTCATATCCCCAACGCCACCACCAACTCAAGGGATCTCATCATATACACTTTCCTTTGCAGGTCGTATCAGAAACTCGCCCGACACCTTCTCCGGCAACTGATTCCTCTCCGCCCACTCGCGCACAGCCTCAAAATTGCGACACACATGCACCGAGTTGAAGTCGACAAACGGCTCCGGGTGGTCAGGATACACCCAGATCTGCCCGAAGATTCCAAAGTCGACTGTGCACATGAGCTGTTGGCGGAGGATGTCGAGACAGTGCGCTATCCATATTAGCATCACTACTACATAGGGTGTCTCGTAGGGAAGAGGAAACGCACAGATATGCTTGCGCACAATATACCCCTCGTTCTTGAAAGAGCCGTCGCCGCGTGCACGGTAGTACTCGTAGTTGTAGTAGAGTGCTTGGCGGAGAAGGTTCTGCAGGCGCGAATACTTAACATATATTCCTCATCTGACTATAGAGGATGGAAATGATACCAGACAGTGAAGATGGTGCAGGCCCTCGACGTGCGCGGGAAACCCACCGCCGTGGCTGGGACTGATCTGAACGTGGTCTTTGGAGAGGCCGGATTTGAAGGCTTTTTGGACGGATATGCGGATTCCGCGGTCTAAGAAGAATTAGCTACTTCTGATACACTTGGACTGTACACACAATTCACTCCTATGGAGTCCCACGCTGCGTCGACGGCAGGACTGGCCTCCTGGCGGAAGATGTTCTCTTTTAGGAACGAGCCATTGAAGGTCTGGTCATAGTATTTGATGCCGATGGTTTTGACCAGTGGGGCTATCCTGGATTGTTAGTAGGGTCGGCGGTTGGTGGATTGATGGACATACAGTATTTGGATGTGCGGAGCGCGCAGAGTGAGTTCGAGTCTTGAACGTGTTGGCCTGTGAAATATCCTAGCACGTATGTGGATGCGGTGACTACGATGAAAAGGACAATCAACGTAGTAGTTGGACAGGCTATGACATACTGTTTGGAATGCTTTTTCCGGGATGTAGCTTCGGCGAGGAGTCGCTCGCCGGACTCGTGGGTGGGGATAGGATGATGCATTCTGGGTTGGGAACGTCTGAATTGAAGAGCTTCTTGCTGAAATATGATTGAGTCACTAGCTTTCTGAGTGACTTGTATGTAAGTCGCGCATACTCTAGCTTGTGACGTTCCGTCGACGACGGCAGACAACAGGCGCGAGATACGTCGGATGTAACTCGGGAGGCTGTGGGACAGCTGTTGCAGTGTGAGGCGGACTGATAGCGACATTTTGCTGAGATGCATGTCTACTATATGGGCATTTATTCATTTACTGAAAGTCGATGAATCTATATTCCGCAACCATGGACAGCTAGCTAAATATCACAACGCTGCTCCTATCCGCCCTGTCCAACAGGACGGAACTTGGAACAGCCTCACCGTCCTGAAACACTGGGGAATCGTCTCGACATTGAATTCCCTTTAAAAGTAGATATAACGTAAGTATGAGCCCATCTCCGTAGACATTCTTCGGTATATCCACACACACGTCGATTCGCTGTCGGTTTAAAATGCATTTTACATCCTCCATCCTCACCCTTGGCAGTCTTCTGTCCGCTCATGCCCTTCCCCATGGGCCAAGCAAACCACATATTTCCAACAAAGCCATTGTCAAGATCCAGTACATTAGTGACAGGCAATCCAACTACAGCTACGGAGCCCAGCCCTCCATCGGCCCGTCTCAAGGGCTCGTACGGATGGATGGAGCCGTACCGTCTGTATCCTCAATGGCTATTCCCTGGCCTAGCTCTCGTCCTTTGCCGAGCTATCATGCCTCGTCGAGCCCCCCCTCTATGTCGAGGCCTCTTTCCTCGCCGTTGTTTATTCCGTCGGGTGCTCCACTATTAACCAGTGCTATGCCCTCGCCTTGGGCTCCCGAACCCACGCCCATCGAGCCCACCTCTCCTTCCAGCTCTGCTCCGATTCCGACAGCCGAGCCACCCAAAGATGATCCCACGGATTTTGGCAACTACGGCAATTACGGCAACTACGGACGCTATGAGCAGTACTCGTCGTATGGGTCGTATCGCAAGAGAGACGGAGAGTCCAAGCATCGACAGTGATCGTTGATGAGGAGACTGGGTTAGTAGTAGTAGAGTGTGACGCGGTTATCATTGATGTGTAATGGAAGCTATTTCTGACAGGTCATATCGGTAGAAAATAGTAACAAAATTAACGTGTGCAGGATTCGGCTCCGATCACGGGAGCTACTTGCCCTAGTTGACACTTAGTGAGAATGGACGACAACATTAACCGCCTTGGCCACGCCACGCATCTAAACATAATCAATTGGTAAACTGTAAAGAAGCACCATCCTAATAAGTGCAGTGTTGGCTATCTCAGATTACATGATCATGCAAGGATCACAATAGACCACATTTGATTCGCCCGATTCGCCAATACAATGCACCTGCATTCCCCGCCACCAGATACAACACTATCAAGAGCGGATGCTCATCAACTGCCCAATCAGGCTTGATCGGCATCTCTCCCCCAAACGAGCGCTAGATTCGGGGTCGGCTCCACCACTCCATCTAACCAGCAGGTCTTGGTTTCTCCGCCCGTGTCGGAGTCACGCCGATCGCGGCGGCCCCCGAGGTTGCCCTTTACCCACCTTCTTAGTCCCTGAAACCCTTTCCCCAGTTTCTTCTTTTCTCCAACATTTCTCTCCCCATTGCTGTTGCTGTCGCCGTTTCTGCCAATGATGGGTTTCTTAAAAGAAACCAAGGTCGATTCGGGACCGGACGCCGATGCGCAGTTCGGTGAGAAGGATGCCGAACAGTCGACTTCGCCATCCCTTACGGCACAGTCTGCCATCGATGAGCGCAAGCTCATGGCCAAGATCGACTGGCATGTGGTGCCTGCGCTGTGTGTGATGTATCTATTTGCTTTTTTGGATCGGTGGGTGCCAACTTCGCTTTGCGCATTGATTACAGTATGTACCGAGTGGTATTGACTTTTGCAGGGTGAATATTAGCAATGCGGCTATCCTAGGGTTGAAGGAGGACCTCGACATCGAGACGGGTACGAAGTACAATGCGGCGTTGACGATTTTCTTCGTGCCGTATATTATCTTCGAGGTATTTATCTATGCTTGTTCAAGTTCAATGATTATTAGCTCGGCTTTACTAACGATGTACCTCATTCAGATCCCATCGAACGTGCTGATGAAGAAGCTCAAGCCGCACATCTGGCGTACGCTCCATTCTCTTCATCACCTTGCTTGGATATCGCTAAAGCTACGACAGTGTCACTGTGCATGTTCGCCTTCGGCGTCGTGATGATCTGCCAGGGCCTCGTCTCCAACTGGGGCGGTCTCATGACCACGCGCTTTTTCCTCGGTGTGTTCGAAACGGGTCTCTTCCCTGGGTGTACGTCAACCGAGTCCATCGCTCCATACAATCCGCGATACAGTAATTGATATAAGATAGGCTTCTACCTTATGGGCATGTGGTACAAACGCAGCGAAGCGCAAAAGCGCTTCAGCTTCTTCTTCAGCTCCACCACCCTAGCCGGCGCCTTCGGCGGCATTCTCGCGTACGGCCTCGGGCAGATGGACGGTATCCGCGGCTACGGCGGCTGGCGCTGGGTGTTCATCATCGAAGGGCTGATGACCTGCGTTGTCGGCATTATCGCCTTTTTCGTCGTGTGTGACTTCCCCGAAGACGCGAAGTGGTTGACGGAAGAGGAGCGCGATTTTGTGCGCGCCAAACTCGCCGCTGATACGGGCGAGGCTGCGGCTCACAAGTCGCTCGGCGTGCGCGATGTGCTCGCTGTGTTCAAGGATTATAAGATCTTTATCGGCGGGTGGATGTATTTCGGGCAGGTTGTTACGGCGTATGGGTATGCGTACTTTGCGCCGACGATTATCAAGTCTTATGGTTATGACCGTACGTCGTACCCTTTTTTCTGCCCCCCCATTTCCGCTTCGTCGCTGGTACGTACCATACAATGGCTAATACGATACAGCTGTCAAAACGCAATTATACTCCATTCCACCCTGGGCCGCCGCGTTCGGCTTCTCCATGTGCATGGCGTTCCTGTCGGACCGACTACGCCATCGGTTCGCATTCGCGCTGGTCCCCATGGTCATCGCCATGATCGGCTATGCCGTCCTGCTGAATGTTACCGACCCGGCAAAGCACATGGTACAGTATGGTGCGCTGTTCTTGGTCACCAGTGGCTGCTACAGTGCGATGCCGGTGCTGGTGTGCTGGTTCGCGATGAACCTGGGGGGTCATCGGCGGAGGAGTGTGGGGACGGCCTGGCAGATTGGGTTTGGAAATAGTATGTTTGCCCTTCATCGAGCCCTCTCGTTATGTCGTTCTTATTGTTGAAATGCTAATCTGTTCAGTCGGCGGCATCATCTCGACGTACTCGTTTCTGGAGCAGGACGCCCCGCTGTACCGCAACGGGTACATCATCAGCGTGTCCTTCTTGGCCTTTTCGGCTGCCATGGCCATCGTATATTTGGGTGCCGTGATGTGGGATAACCATCGGCGCGATAACATGGCCGTCGACTCTGGAGTTGCAGCAGAGATAGAGGAGGACGCCGGCGACATGGCGCCTACCTATCGGTATAATTATTGAGTTTCGGTTTTCATGTCAGACAACGCGTTGACCAGGGTCGGCTACAAGCCGATACCGGACTCATGTGATTGGTGAGTGGGTCTATTCCCCGAGTGGGTCTCGGTTTAGCTTAGTGCGGGGAAACTCGGACTCGAAACGATCTTGTATACCGTCGAGGAGATATCATGATATCGGGCGTTCAAACAGATATACTGACGCCACACGGCAGAGCGATATGGTTTTATGGCTCGCTGCGTCTCATGTAATATAGTCCCTGCAGATCCACTAGCCAATGGCATTATTTATAGATCTATACAAAGAATACATGTTTGCCATTGACTACTTCTTTGTTATTCAATACAAAGTGGGTATATATATCCCCTCAACTACCGTTGACGAGCGTGATCCCCCATTTCTCCTACAAATATCCCCTGCAACCCTGGAATGATACCTCTCGTAAATATCTGTTCGCCCAACCCCAAATCTTATAATACGATTCTATAGTACACATCCACCACCGAAAATGCCTTCACTGTTTTCGTTGCCCCCCGAGCTCTTTCTTCAAATCACCTCCTACCTCCCTGCCAGTACCATCAGCAGTCTAGCACAAACTAACTCTACCGCATCTGCTACTATCAAGCCCATGCTATATCGTAAGAATATCATGGAAGGTAAGGGCAGTGCACTCGTGCATCTAGCCGACGGCGACCATATAGATGAGCTGAGAAACTACATTCACAGTGAGATGCGATTCCGCCTTTTTGAGCGCCGTAAACTGCGCACTGAAAATGTGTGGTTTGCATACGACCCCGGCCTCATAACTTGCACCAGATCACAGTACCAGTCCCGCCGTCGCTACCAGGTCTATGAACATGCTAACTACGGCCCTCTAGTCCGCGCCGTCCACCGCGGCGCCCACGAGATTGTGAGCCTCCTGATCATGATGGGGTTCGACCCCGCCGTGAAACCTGGCACTCCGCACCGCTGCCTTCTTGCATACGCCGCATTGAACGGGCAATTGGAAATCACAGAGGCGATCCTCGACAAACTACGAACCTCCGAAAAGGGCTGCCCGACTTACTTCATTGAGGAGGCCGTCTCCGCCGCGGCGACAAATAGCCACCCACTTGTGATACGGCATCTCCTCAGCAACGTACACAGGGAGTCGCGCACACGCGCCAGTACCCTCATTAGAGAACTCTGCCGCGCGAACCTCCCTGGTGCTATTGTTGGGGGACGCATCTCGGTATCCCAGGCGCTGCTGGTGTGGCTGCGCACGGTGGACTTTTACAGTCATCAATTTCATGGGACTCCGCTGCAACTCGCTGTCCGTAATGGCTATGGCACGATTGTTCGCATGTTGCTGATGAAAGGGGCGAAGCCTGACCTTGTTCTTCCGCAGATGAACATGGAGGAGGGGTCGCCTCTGACAGAGGCGGCTCGTTTGGGCTATGAGGCAATTATTGACGCCCTTACTGTTGCAGGGGCAAGGGATGACATTCGGGATGCTAGAGGGCTACACGCGAAAGACTACTTGAAACGGAACAAGGAGAGAAGGGAGCAGGAAGAGAGGGACAGACAACGGGCACGGGAGGCGCAGGCAGAGCAGCAAGAGGCTCTGAGAAGACTCAGTCGAGCCGAACACACCTTTGACACACCTGGGGCTATCAATGCGAGGATTACTGCGACGTGCACGTGTGGCTCCAGCTATTTTCATGACAGATAGTGGTTTGACTTGAAAGTGTACTACTACTGCATAGAGGGACTTGGGTTAGGGAGTTACGCTAGATTGGTTGGGGGTTTGCTGTGCATTATATAGACTGATTTGCTTATATATCGTAGATATGAGATGTAAGATATTATTGTGAAAACATGCATTATGGTGGATGAAGATCGTTATGCAAGTACAAGTCAACAAATTTTATGGAGTCTCTTTTTATATTAGATCATTCCATACAAACATCTTCCTTCGTATAGACACAGTAAAGGTAAACTACATTGATTGATCATAGTATGTCAATAAGTAATAATAAACGCAGTTCATTGATCAGATATGCTGCTCTCCTCTATCAGTCAACCTACAATTAATTTGTCCCTCTCCCTTTAAGAGTTCTCTAGAACCCATATATCTAACACCCTCAATCCTCTACAACTGATCATCACACTTATATTATTCGATCTTTATGGGCATAGTCTCCGACCATCGCGCCCTCGCGGCCGAGACCGGGCCTTTCGGTATCTGCGTCGTCTAAAACCTCCTGACTCTCCGCGGATTTATTCCACAATACAGGGGTCCATCCCCGCATTTGCACCCCCCGAGAGGTTCGAAGCCCTCCCAGGCCCGCGGCTCTGCCGGGCGTCAATTATGGAGTGTAGGGATTCAGTATTCCATGAATGTTGTTATTTTCTTCTTCATTTTCTTTATCCGCATTATCTTTTTCATCTTCTTTGTTATGAACTTCTTTGTGCTTTTCTTTATACGCTTCTTTGTTCCCTTCTGTATTGGCTTCTTTGTTCCCTTTTGCATTCCCTTCCTTGTTCTCTTCTTTGTTCTCCCAGTTGCACTTTCTACTAAACTTTAGGATTTAGGACGTCATATATCACTACTGCTACTATACTCCACATGTTATATGCAAATTGACTATATTAAACATGAATCACGGTGTCACCATTGTATTTACTCTATTGAATAGCTCACTACATGATGTACAACATTTGAAGTATACCTTAACGAGATCTAATGAAATAAATATATACAAACTCCAAACCAATAACATACACTAATCCAAGACCCAAGACGCCCGCCGACAAGACCGTTCCAAATCAGCAACAGCACCCACCCGATCTGACAACCATCCCGACGTGAATCCCTCACGCGGGGACCCCAACTTCGGCATCGGCGACGTCCAACACCGCCCCTCTGCAAACACATACTGCACGCACTTGGCGTCGCTCACGCACAACGACCGACACTCCACCATACTGATCGCCTCCTCAACGGGCGCATCTTCCGGCCCTGCCTCCCCATGTGAGTCCCAGTCCTGGCGGATCCCGCTCATCTTCCCCTTCACCAAATTCTGGAATACATCCGCGTATAGCAAGCGCGAGTTCCCCGCCGCGCGCCAGCGCTGCTCGAACTCCGCTAGCTCGCGCACCTCCTCCGGCGTCAGGTGGTGGAACGCCACAGGCGCATAACACCACGGCTTCTTGCCGTACCCCTCATTGAAGTAGTCAAATTCCCCGGGCGGCTCCCGCTGCAGATGCGGCCACGCCCAGAGCAGACTCACCCCCGCTTCATTCAGCAGCTGGCCCAGCACGCAGTCGCCTGCCCACTGTCCCGCCGTGAACTCGTCCCACCGCGCCACATTCGACTGCCACAGGTCATCGGCTGCGGCCAGCGCCGCCTGCGACAGCACGAACCCCGACCCGCCGTGCCCGAACAGCACGTCGCCGATCTGCATCTGGTTGCCCAGGTAGTACGGCCGCTGGGGGTCGAACTGCGCCAGCCAGGTGACCAGGTTCGCCCACACCGGGTAGGTGTCCGCTTCCATGAAGACATACCATTTGGCGTGGGGCATGGCGGCCCGTGTGCGGTTCACCATCGGGAGGAACTTCCACTTGTCGAGTTTCCAACCCGGGTTGTTCTGTTTCCCGAAGTTGCTGTTCACATCCTGCGTGAGGTCTGTGTCTGTTAGGCCGCCGCGCCCCGTGGCGCGTACCCGGTTGTAGAGGTCGAATTCGGGGAGGGTTTCCCGGAGAGCGAGGGGCATGTCGCGCAGGACGTCGTATGTTTGGGCTTCCCCGATGTGTTCGTCGGTGTCGCTGAAGATGACGTAGTGGGGGATGCAGCGGAGGGTGGTTTCGAGGTGGACGGGGACTTTGTCGCGGGCTTCGGTGACGCCTGTTTTAAGCACGACTAGGATGTCGTCCATGGCGGGGAGTGAGGAGCAAGAGGGTTGTTGTGGCTTTTTGGCATTGTAGTAGTGGGCTCTGGTGTTGGTGTTGGTGTTGGTGTTTGGGGGGGTGGTTGCGGTTGCGGTGGGTGGCGCGTATGCAGGGGGGAAGACATGTTGGTTTTCGTTCCGCAGGACGATCTGATGCGTGGCGTCGTCGCTGTCGCCCACATTTCGGTATATTAAATAGACGATGAGCAGACTGAGCAGCAGGCCGAATCCGGAGACTCGGCGCTGGCGTGGTGTCCGGCGCGCTGGGCGAAAGGCGGTGCTGCTGCTCATGACGAGATGCGGCACAACCAACGGAGACGTCGGAGAGGAGGAGTTAGACTGGGGGAGGGATGGCAATTAATATTATGATTGTGATTCGGGATCGGCATGCCCCGTGGGTCATCGCTCGTGCAATCAAAGCGCCTCCCCGTGGCGATAATGTCGATCTTTACCCTATCCTTGGGGGATCCTGGGAGAGGGGAACTAACGCGACGATCAGGGATGAGGGTTGTGTCTTTCGATCAGGGACGATACTTATTTACTGACTGACTTATTCCGTCATTCGTACAGAAGACAAAGCACTAAAACAGCACTAGGCATCCCTGATGGACCTGAAGATGGAAGATCGTTCCATGGTTGACGTGTCGTGGATGTAACTGGAGCCCACAGCCCTATCTGATGTCATCTTTGCCCCTCGAACCGTTTAAGAATCTGCCTAACAGAGAATCACTCCGACCCAATTATTCTCGGATCCATTTATCAGGGGCCCATATAATTTCCCCCTATGAGTCGCATCGGATGGCTGCAATCCAATTCCGGTGAGGGTTAAAAACCACCCAACGCGACCTATACCCACAGAATAATCACCGAATGCATCTCTTCCGCAGATACTCATAATCCGGCATCGACTCCAACACAGCCTGCTCAATCCATCCAGCCACCTCCTCCCCAAACTCCTCCCTCCACTTCTCCGCCTCGACAGCAACATCCACCGTGGCAGGCGCCTTCCCCTTGACAATCCCCGACGACTGATCCAACGTCCCTAGCATCACCTTCGCCGCAGCAACCTGCATCTCATTCTCGGCCGCCTGCGCGTGTTTTGACTCGCCTTTCTCCCCGGCCCACTCAAACTGCACTGCCTCCGAATCCAACCCCGCCGTCTCGCAGAACCGCTCCACAGCCGCTGGACTGTGGATCACCTCGTGCGCGTCGATGACAACCGGCGCCGCGCTTCCTGCGCCGCCTTCCCGCCGCTGCACAACAGCCCAGTCGTAGAGCGCCCGCGTCCACCGCAGCGTCATGTTCGTCCGCGACGCCCCCCGCACCCCGTCCGTGTCGAGGTACCCCAAGACACTGAGCTGGGACATCGCGCGGTAGAAGCTCGGCCACGCCAGCGCCGGATGCCGGATGATGAACGCCAGTCGCCAGGTGCGCAGGTACTCGTCCGACATGACGGTGTTGTTGCCAGGCGAGTACGTCTGTGTGGGGCCGTAGCGCTCGGGAATCCGCGGGCGGAACGCATCGTGGTGTTCTACTGTGCTCGGGGTCGGCAGTGTCTGGTCGAATGCGGCGGGGTTGAGCATCCAGAAGGCGTGCTCTTTGGCGAACATCGTCTTGGACTGCTGCGTGGCGGCGGTGGCGCATTCTTCGAGCGTGTCAAAGCAGGACTGGAAGGCGGCGCCGATGCCGGTTTTTGTGGCCTCCGGCCAGGTGTCGATCGGTCTGGCCGGGAGCCCGTCCATTGTCGCGGCTAGGAAGGCCGGGTAGTAGAAGTAGCCATGTTTTTGGTTGGTGTGAACATTGGGTTGGTGGTCGATGTCGAGGATCTTGACGAAGAGGTTGGAGGCTGTGCGGGGGACGCTGACCAGGAGGAGGCGATCGGGTTGGTGATCGGCATGGGCGGTGACTGTCATTTTACAGGTAGGTACCTCTAGGTAGTAGGTACTAGTAGAAGATCTGTATAGATCTGTAGATCTGATCTCAAACGACCTTAATAGGTAAGGTAGATAAACAGTAGATTCAGGCAAAGATGATTGGTTGCAAGAAGCTTAACTCAAGCAATGGCTCATCCCGCGGGCAGATGGCGTGATTATATAGGTATCAGATCGCCCTAATATATATAGATATCTTCTATCCCACCATGGTATGTGTCACTTCCCCTCGCTTCCCCCGCCGTTAAAAGCCGACGCTGTGGGTCGGATATCTGGACCAGTTATGCCACAGAACCAGATACATGCCTCACTTTGATTGGGCTGGTGTGGAGATCGGCCATATCCTCGCTCCTCTAGGAAAGAAATCAGTACCCCATGAGGTTTAGGGCTCGGGGCTCGGGGCTCGGGTTTTGTACTTGTCTCCGCTTACATTATTTCCATGGAATGTCGGCCTTGCTTTGTCCGAGGAATTGGATGACTTTTACGTGTCTTTCGAGGATTGGGGAAGTAGAAAGAAGGTTTTATAGTTTTACTGGTGCGCAGCCTTATTGTCCCTGAGGTGGTATGTAGTCAGATGAGAGCATGTCTGGTTGGTCGGCTGCCGCTGCAGCGAACCTTGGCGCAGTGTAGTACATACTCCGATGTAAGTTTGCGGCTTATTCCAGGCTACATGTTTGATAGGTCTTGGGTTGTAACAATTGTATTGCTTTTAGTGCATTTGATTGCAGTCAAACTTCTCTGGAAGTATATTTGACATTTCTCGAGACATGTGCTTATTTCCTGAATACGGACGGGTAGTCAAGTGCTAAGACTAAAGTTAGTTTAGATTCTTATTAAAATGTAATAGTTTAAATACCCTTGTCGATCAAAAGATATACTTAGTTATTCTAGTCTTTGGTCTAGACAACGATTCATGGTCCACATCCACAGCCACAGTAGCGTTTATAGACTCAGTGGCGGTGAATGAGTCACGCCGATCAGGCTATAAGTCGACAAGGCTACTTACTCTTAGACAACTAGAATGATCCACAACGATATATATAAGAATACGCTCCATACTGTAGCACAATACAGTAACAGATCCACAAAGTCTATCTTCCACCATGACGCTCGAAGTAAACCCCCCAGTCTCCATCGCTCACCCGTTTTCCAGAGATCCCACCGTCCGTTTAAACCGTCGTTCCAAGCCTAGAAGAGTCGAGCAGGCGCGACGTAAACACCGACCTCCGCCCCCTCCAGTGGAATTCGACCCGGCTGCATGTGCCCTACTTGATAGGTACCTCTCCCACTGCGTATGTATCATAATGTTATGATGTATTAAAAACAAAAAAGAATCTTCTCCCTCCCCAGCGAAATCCGCACCACGATCTACTACCACCTCCTCGTCCAACCCACCAAATGGGATCTTACCCACCGCAAAGACTGCGACCCATTCAGACCAGGCCCTCCCGGCCCCCGAACATTCACCTCAGGTCTCATTCCTCCAGCCTACCCCTCCCTTCCCTTCGTTGAAGAAGACCTCCGCCAGAACCTCTGCGCCTACTGCCGCAGCGGGAGCTACCAGTTTGAAAGCCAGTCTATCTGCGTCTCGCCCGCAAGAAGTCAATGGGCCCCGCCGCATACGAATCCTTTCCTCTGTGACCTGTGCTATGCGGAGCTTGTACGTAGCCACCGCGAGCCATGCCCGCCGCTTGATTCGCTGTCGTGCCTATGTGCGCGGCGGCGGAATCTCTCATTCCTGCTCTTGAACAGACAGATTCATCGCGAAGCGGGATTTGTTTTTTGGACGGAGAACTGCTTTTCATTCGAGAAGCCCGCCCTGTTGATCGACTTTATGGCTGTTTTGAGGCCCGAGGTCTGCGATCTGATTTCTAGGGTGTCGCTTATGACGAGCGTTGACGAAGACGGGGACGAGGAGGCCGTCTTTGACCGTCCGAAGGTCGTCGTTCGGGCCTTGAAATTGCTGGGACAGTGCCGCAACCTCATGCACCTCGAGCTCGACGAGGCCTTTCTGTCTCATGTGAGGTTCGTGCGAGCCTTGCGGGGTGTAAAAGTCGGGAGAAGTGTCATTTTCGTGAGACGATCCACGCGTCGAGAGCTAATCTCAACGGAGTTTATGATGGAGCCTATCTGGGGCAAGGTGGCAATGCGTAGTGTCGTGGTGGATTCGTTAGCGGAACAGATGGCTTGGTCTATGTCCCATCGACGGCCGCTGACCCGGCGGTGTGTGAAGCGGCTTTTTGAGCGTAGGGAGAGGATGAGACTGGGGCTGGTTGATACGGATGATGAATTGGGGGAGGGATCAGAGAGTGGATGATTGATTGTTGTCTTTTGCACTATCCACTAGTTTGGAATTTGGGGTGACTGACAATACGTCAGGTTTCTCATACAGCCTGCACTTTATTGCCCTTATGACAATATTGATTTCCTGAGCCAGAGATCAACCTGACGTATGAGTCAATGCTTCTTCCATTTTTCCTTCCCTCCCCTACATGTAGCCGCGTGGCGTTTTGCCGCCGTATACTCAAGCACCATACAATGTTGAGCAGCTTCCTTGGATGGGGTATAATATAATATCGCTATGCATACGACGATATAAGACATTGCTTTCTTGAATATAATAGTGGGATAACTCAGCACGATGATATTAGAAAGAAATATCATTGGCAGAGCTAAGGAACGATGTAAGTCAACAAGATCTTCCAGAAGATCAAGGGCTTGTGCGGTCAGGTGATTGAACATTTGGCTCAACACTACGGTTTACATGAATGAGGATACAAAAGTTTGTTCCTTTTTAAAAAGAACTGTAATTGTAAAAGATTTCCGCCATTCATACTTCTTTCCAGTATCATACTTTTCAGAAAAGCCCACTGAGCCAGTAATAATTTCAAAGCACTAGGTACGTAGATGACCCCTGATGTTGGTCATTCCACTTAATTTGGTACTCCTCAAATATTTTTTGCCATTTTTGGACTGCATTTACATTGGAATAAGTGAAGAGCAGCCTTGTTGTATATTCCGCGAATGTTGGGATCGACACGGCCCGTTTCCAGCAACGCCCTGACGTTGGCATTGTGTCCACAACTAGCGGCCAGAGTGAGAGCAGTTGATCCATCCCGACTCCTTGCGTTGACATCGACTCGCTCGCTGCGGACAAGCTCCTCAAACGCCTCACTGATATAATAGAACTAGGGCCCATTCCGACCTCCCTCGACGTTTGAGTCAACTTGTATTGCGGTACCACTATGGACAGGCCCCAGGAGGCTTGTCACGAACTAAGCCATAATTGATACGGCTTATGATCCTAGAAGACACTTCCCAATTTTAGTCTTATTCTTATCTTTGATTGGGTTATTCAAATTGGACTTGTATCTCGTTCTATCTGGTCGCAGTGTTCTACTTCCTACACTGACAAATAAATTTTCAGAACAACTTGCTACTGTAAGAAAGATCGGAGAAACGTTTAGGAATATGTCACCATGTCGGAATTAGATACAATTAGACAAGTACTAGAGCAAGGCAATTAGCTCTTGACCAGAACACCCCGATACCGCATCTTCCCCTCATCCAACGTCTTCAATGCATTCTGGGCGCCCTCGGCCGTCATAGGGAACGTCATAGTCACAGGCTTAATGTTATGCAAAGCAGCAAAGTCGAGCATTTTCTGATGGACTGCCCGAGAAGCAACAATCGCGCCCTGCACCCGCAAGCCCTGCCCAATGACAGCCATCTGAGGAACCGCAAAATCGCCCTGCGCGACCGTCAACGGCAAGATCGTGGCTCTAGGCTTCAACACGGGTAGGAAAAGGTTCCAATCAGGCGGGAAGCTCGTCGTCACGACCAAGTGATCCACCTGCCGGCCAACAGCCAGCTCCTTGACGCCCTTGGTCGCGTAGAACTCATGCGCCCCCAGTTTCAACGCTTCCTCTTTCTTGTGGTCCGTCCCAGAGAACACCACCACCTCGCAGCCCATCTTGTTCGCGAACTGGATTGCCAGGTGGCCGAGTCCGCCGACGCCGACGATACCCACCCGCGATGTGGGCTGCACGCCCCCGACATGCATCGCGTTAAAGACAGTCGACCCGCCGCACATGAGCGGCGCCGCATCCTGGCTGGACAGCCCGTCGGGGATACGGAAGAGGAAAGCCTCGCGCCAGACCACGTGGGTGCCGAAAGAGCCCTCGTCTTGGTCAGCATACCCGTACATCTCTCTCTGGGGACAGAACGTCTCCCATCCGGAGAGACATTGCTCGCAATTTTCGCAGCTGGAGTGCACGTATCCGAACCCGACGCGGTCGTTCTTCTTTAGGGAGTGAACTTCAGGGCCGACTTCCTCCACGACGCCCGCGCCTTCGTGGCCCAGGACCATGTCGACGGTCTGGTAGTGTAGGTCTGTGCCGCATACGCCCGAATGCGTCAACTTGACGAGGACCTGGTCTTTCGCGAGGGGGCCGCGCTCCGTCGTGGATTCTTTGATGGTCCCATCGCTGGATCCTTTGTAGACTGTGAAGGAGTGACCCATGATGATTTCGTGATGTTTGAGGAAGACAATTGATGAGCTTGAGTGTGATGGCACATACAGAATTGGGTCACCGTGTACGTTAAATACCCAATGGTGGATGATATAATCTAGGCGACCCTCCATCGATGCATTCAAAAGCGAGGTACGGTGACATCACCATAGCATAGGTGTGGAGCAGGCCCACCTCAGCCACGATTTAGAGATGCGATACCAGTTTCTTGAGTCGCCACATCGCGATCATAGCATCTCCATTGCTCGATATGGTGCCGATCTTGTCCATAGTGGACTGTCTCCTGTTCGCTCTTAGTCGGCGTAAAATCGCGGCTGACTCGCTGGCTCATTGATCCGCGATAGAAGCTAAAGGGAAAGAGTTGCCTACCAGAGAACGACCCACATAACCGCGATCGTATCTCAGCTACCCCACAGTATCTTAAATATTACTAGCAGAGGCGAAGGGATAACCCATTTGTTTCCAGCCGCAATTGATCAGCGAGAGAAGAAACGGAGACCTTCGGCTTTAGGGCTTCAGGCTTCTCACATGATCAAAATGTGTAGTGAGTTCCCCAACCTGACTAGTGCGGTCGCATATTTTGTTGTTTGTAGATCTTTCGCTATCCATGGCAATAGAAAATAACACATCACAATCATCTCAATCATAGATGGGTATCGTAACTTCAACTTATCGTAAAAGGGTTCTGACATTCGAGCTGGACTCATACAGCTCATACTCCTTTGCGGGAGCGGCATAAAAGCGCATAATCAATCAGGTGACATTTGTGATTACATCTTGGGCATGTCGCACATCTGTACTCTTTGACCCTGTCAAACTTTTCCCTCATCACCCTCGTCGTGGGTATTCTTGTCCAACTACAATATACGAAATTCATTTCTCCCGGAGGAATACCGATGCAGTCAACTCGACTAATTCTGTCATAGAAAACCCTGGGTCCGGCTATCATTTGCTCTTTGAAGGATTCCCTTCTGACCTGGGACACGACAACTAGGCAATCATATACAGGGTTTCTACGCAATCAACTCACAGAAATATTCTGTTATCGACTATGCGACGAAAGCGATGGATCAGCCTCGGGGCGCATGGCTGCACCGTGCGAGCCATCGCCTGGACAGTGGACGTGGACACCGTTCACTAGATTCAAACGTCGGACCATAGAAATTGAACGGTACTTATCGGTTTGGATGTTTATATTGGAAGGATTGGTTTAATATGGGAGGGCGCTTGTAGAATCGCGCTCGCCCGCGGCTTCGCATTGTCCGCGCCTCGGGTTAGTGTCGATTGCACGATAACCCCTGGAATAGTCCTTGTTCGCGGCCTATAACTCTTTCTGACACCATCCCATCCTTCCTGATATATATGCGACTACGTCGGCGGCTAACATTAAATGAAACACAAGAGAGGGTCACCGACTGGAAAAACCCCCATCTAAGACAAGAATCATTGGCCCGATAGGATGGCAGGCGCTGGCTACAAGCCTAACACAGCTTGTCGACCGATAGCCCCCCTTCAATCGGGGCGACCTGGCGCGTCGAAAGGATGCCAGTAATGACCTAGAGCCCACATTCAGGGGAGATTTACGCGGGGTGCCCCGCCAATCCTCTCGACCAGCCTGGCTTATCGCCGGGTCGATCCCTTGATGAAGCTCCGACATCCAGAGGAATTTAATGACGAATATGGGCCTACATTTGGCTAGACTGTAACTGAGTTTGACAGGATCTTGTTGCGTGAGGCAGGGCGTCTGGCCCCCATCGACTGAACACCATTCGCGTTTTCTTCAGACCACAACCCTGTTAGGGGCAGATCGGCAAGCCCTGCGAGCACATGTCTTCAACCGGCCCGGAATATCGAATGCTCATCACCACACTCTATTTTCCTTCCCTTAATTGAGTATTATTCAAGGCGGCGGCAGATGTAAAACACCTGTCGGGCGGAATGTCTCATACTTTGACGGGCTGGTCGGAGAAAACTCACTGTGTTTGGCCTCGATCCTGCGAGGGTTGTGTGGGGACACCACACCGGGCCGGTCATGTTGTATAAAGTCCGTTCCAAGGGACACATCTCAAACAGTGGGCATGCGACACACCGAAGGATTTGGATCGACGTTCGGCCCCCAATATGTAACCCCGTGGGTTTCACTTCTTTCCCGAATACAAAGCATTAGGAGGCTGCGGACTTCGACATAAAGCGACGAGTCCAACCATGGACGCTTGTCTTTTTTTTACATCATTCTCTCAGGGCTTTGGACAAAAACCGCAATCAAGTCCACGATGAAATTCAACCAGAACACGGCAGCTTTGCCCCTCGCGGGCTTGCTGTTCGCTCCCTTCACCCTCGCCGCCCGCGAAGTTCCCCCGAATCTCAAGGAGTTCTACAACAAGGTTCAGAGTGCAGGCGACTGTAAGGGCGAGAACCTCCTCGGAGGAGGCTTCTACGATGACGACAAGAAAGACCCAAGCTTCGGCTACTGCAACAAGTTCATGGAAAACAAGGGCTTCTACCTCAAGGGCCCCGGCAACAAATTCGCAAACATGGACATCGACTGTGACGGACAAGAAAAGGACGCAAAAGACCGTTGCGGTGGCGACGATGACACTCAGTACGAAACTCGGTACAAGGAAGAGGTCCAGAAGATGGGCATTCCCGACCTGGACACCTACATTCACCCCTACGTGGTACTCGGCAATGAGCGAAAGGACGGCAAGGCGACTTTCCTACCCGAGAAGGAAGGGATTGAGCCCTTGAGCGTGGTTGCCGTCGTCTGCAACGACCGTCTGGTGTATGGCGTCTGGGGCGACACGAACGGTGATGACGGCGACCCGCTGGTTGGCGAGGCTAGTCTCGCCATGGCCGACATGTGCTTTGGCGAGAAGTACAGCGCCGACTCTGGGTACAGTGAGCAGGATGTGCTTTATATCGCGTTCTCCGGGGAGGAGGCTGTGCCCGGTAAGAATGCCGCGTGGGATGCTAAGAGCTACGAGGAATTCGAGCAGAGCCTCCAGGATCTGGGTGATACGCTTTTGTCGAAGCTGCTGGGCTCCAGCGGCGGCTCCAACAACAGCTCCAGCGATAACTCTAGCAACAACTCTAGCAACAACTCTAGCAACAACTCCAACAACAGCTCCAACAACAGCTCCAACAACAGCTCCAACAACAGCTCCAACAACAGCTCCAACAACAGCTCCAACAACAGCTCCAACAACAGCTCTAACAACAGCTCCAGCGGCGGCTCCAGCAACAACTCTAATAACAGCTCCAGCAACAGCTCCAACAACAGCTCCAGCAGCGGCTCTAGCAACAACTCCAACGGTGACTTCAGCAGTGGCTCTGGAAGCGGCAACAAAGTGTGCAGCGCGAACAAAAGCAAGCGATCAGGTGCCAGAGCTGAAAAGCTCGCAAGACGGCAGAAAGCTTCCCAACGCCGTGCTTAAGCACCTGCGCGAGAGATTCGATGAAAATATCAGGATCAATCGGTTTCTTTCAGTTTACCCTGTCGATTTTTCTTCAGGCCCTAATGTACTTATCTGGATACGATCATGTTTGCAAGTTTGAGTCCGTTTTTTTACGCAGAATTGTCACTCCTTTGATATGAAAATGATATGTTTGCAGTTACTTTAACACGAGCCCGGATAATGGGATCAATTAGACATAAGCAACCCAGTCATTTTTCCGAGTCATCACAGCTTTCAGTACCATAATTTTACCTTGAACAATATCATACAATCTCCCCCATTCCTCTAATCCCTCACAAGTCCATCCCCCACAGCACAGCCACCTTGCCTGCTCATTAAGTCCGGCGCCAAACTTACAAAGTGAAAACGGCCCCAAAATGTTCCACCTAGCCCAGGAACTAGCACTGTGGATATCAGTCCCTGATTCGCTTGCCTCCATCCTTTGCCAGTCTAGCTTCCTCCGTCCACTGGGAAGGAGATCCCGCGGTCCTGACCCACATTTTGTTTCTTTCTCTCGTGCCGATGTAAGAACCCTCTTTCTTTGAGTCACGCCAACATAACACGTTATACGTCTACGCGATAAGTAGGTTTTTCCGGCTCGATTATAGTCGTATAGAAGCGCGTTTTACTATTCTATGTATATGTAAGGTCAAGCGGATTCTTCCGTTAGCAGTATACATTTTTTAAATAAATAAATGCTTCCTGGTCTTCTCTGTTCTGTTCTAGCCTAGGTCACTAGTCCCATTTTTCCTAGGGTATATTAACTTCCCTCGTGTCTTAAACGGTCACCTCGGCCATCGGGATTTACTTATGGTCATCTCGAGATTTACCCCCTGCCCATAGCGTACTCTCCAACTAGATTATTCGGGAATATGTCCGTATAAGTCTGAGGGCGTACAAAATCAAGCTAGGTGGCCACGTAACTAGCTTTCCTGACGAGGGAAACGAGTGAAGCAACATATACTTTGGGGATGAGTGTGGGGAAAAATGCCTGGCATCTCGGTACCTTTCTAGGATAGCGATGGCAGCCCAGAGCCCAGGAGGAGAGAATATATACTCTGATAGGATGGAAAGAAAGATGGTGGAGTCCTGTGCTTGGACGTGAGATTTACTGGGTATGTAGATAGTACCTAGGGTTGGAAATGTCATCTGACTTTCGTATTAGGTGGTGGTGGTAGCTACTAGCCGAGGGAGTAGTTGTTAGTGCCTTGGGGCGAGAACATGTTTCTTCTAGAAAAATTTCCTGGAAACGAGACAGGAAGTAACCCCCTTTGATAGAATAAGTACAGAGAAGTGAACAAACAGGCTTCTTTTTGTGGGAGGAGTCATAAAAACAGTCAAAACGTTGATGATATTTGATGTTTCATCGAGCTGTGGAAGGAGTTGCGAAGTGAATAGTCATAACATTAATTTTTGTAGGAAAAGACCTCTGCAAGGCAGCTAGTGTTGCCCGATTTTTCACGTCTCATAATTGCGCAGTTTCCTCTCTAGTTGTTAGAGTATAGCTTTTTCCGATGCGGCAATCATTCCTTCAAATCCCGTCTCTATCCATGCCTCGCATGTGACGCTACAATTGACGGCGTCAGATCTACGGATTGCTACTGAAACACCCAGACTTGTCTGTATGTCTCATATAATGATAATATCTATATTAAACTATTGGAATTATATACCCTCACCCAAAAAAGCTTATATACAACCCCCTAGAATGCACCACCACCCCCTATACAAAAAACACCATACCATAGATACACACCCAATCCAGAATGATAATATCAACAATCATGCAATATTCATAATTCGTTTCAAGTCGTGAAGAGAAAGCGGTTTCACGAGGTAATCGTCGATCCCCGCTGCGAACGCCTGCTGCTGCATTGTGCTGGACGCTACGCCTGTCACTGCCATGATGGCTGTCCGGGCGAGGCCGTGCTGTTCTTCGTATTCGCGGATTTTGCTAGAGGAGACTATGCCGTCCATTATTGGCATTGAGATGTCTGTCGTAGTTGTCAGTGTTTTGCTTTTGGTGGGATTGTTCGTTTAAAGGGAAATTGGAGGAGAGGGGACGCACCCATTAATACGAAGTCGAAACCGCCGGAGGAGGTTTTGTATTTCTCCCATGCTTCGAGCCCGTTGGTCGCTGTTTCATAACTACAGCCGATTTTGCGCATGAAAGTGGCTAAGAGCTGGGGGGCTGTTAGTACCGCCAGAGAGGCAAGGTTATGAGTTACACCCACCTTAATATTGATTTCGTTGTCGTCGACTATCAAAACACGCAGCTCTCTTTCCGGCGGTTCGTGCTGCGGAGGCGGCGGCGTATATTCGGCCATGTTTTCCCGCGTCACAGGCGGGGATTCGGTGCCTTTGGCTAACGCAAATGCCTCCGACAGACTGCGCCCGCGAGTTGCTGTCCCCGGGAAGGGTCCAAACACCGGACTCAGCGCCGCGAAGCCCGGGTCTTGCTGGGACTCCTCGCGAATTCTATTCAGTGCTTCCATCATTCGCCGTGGGACGAGTCTGGGGTTCGTTAGTGGAAAACTCAAAGCTGGGTGTCCCGGTTGGGAAAACGTACGGTTGGGCCAAATAGATAACCTGTGCGTTTTCAATGGTGAATTCTTCTGGGAGTGAGACTCCCTGGTCCCCGAGAACAATGATGGTCCTGAAGTTGGCATGCATCGGGCCATTGCCGGCAATCTTCTTCAGGGTGGTTTCTTCAACCACGGCGACATCGCCGGAGGCTTCTCGGAGGGTGTCAGCGTACGACAGCGCCCATCCCGGTCGGCTGAGGAGGACATTGCTCAGAGCAGCTCGAATAGAAAGTTTGCGTTTAGCTTCAGGAGTCAGAACACCGTCCGGGGCACTCTTGAAGTCCACGACGGGACTCAATCCGACCAAACACACCCGTGTCACCGTCCGCGCACCAGGGCCAGCTCCCTGCGTGATGACTTGGGGGACGGAAGGCTGAGACGCAAACTCCAAGGGAATGCACACCTCCATGCGTGTTCCCACTCCAACGTCGCTCTTGACATGAATAGTTCCACCCAGATAAGTGATGAGCTTTTCCACAATGCTGAGGCCCAGTCCAACCCCTTCAGTCAAGAAGCTCTCCTGGATAAAAGGCTTGAACAGATTGTGTTCCAGAAACTCGGGTGATATCCCGCATCCTGTGTCGGTAACAGACAAGCGTGCGAACACAGTCTTGCCGTCTACCGTCCTTTGCACATCCTTGGACAAGTGGACCTCAATGAACCCTGATCGGGTGAACTTGAAGGCATTCCCCAGAAGATTCATAACAAGCCTACGCCACCCGCCGGATACCGACTTGATGGTCCAGGAATCCAAGTCATCAATCCGGAGAATGACGGAGAGACTATCAGAAATTTTCTGTTGCTTATCGTTGGCAGATTCTCCTCCCACTCCATTACCATCGGTGAGATACCGGCCAGCAACCTTAGATGCGTTCATGAGCGACCGATGCCCAGCATACAGTGACTCGGTCACCTCTTCAACCAGAGTATCCAGCGCGAATTCAGAAGCCAGGCGATCGAAGTGTACCTCGTCAAGCCCGTCGTCGTTTTTATGAACGCGGGTGAGGTTGTTGATTTTCGTGACGTCCAGAAGGTAATTCATCGTATCCAAGAGGGTGAGGCCGCACGTTTCCACCATGGTAACCATATCTCTTTGTGCCGGTTCCAGGTTGGTCGTCTGAAGGAGCTCTGCGCTAGCAAGCATGCCGTGTAGGGGGGAGCGCAGTTCATGGCTGACCGAGGCGAGTAAATCCGATTTCGACTTTTCGGTTGATTTCCAGTCCATGCGCGAGAATTCAGCAGCTAGGGTGCTTCCAAAAGCCCTCAAGAATGCGAGATCTTCCGGTCCGAGTAACCGATTACCTTCCCTTGTCCAAAGGAGAGTGCCCGCCAGCCACCGTGATGTGTCCCAATTCCAGAGTGGAAAGAATATGGCCGACGCAGCTTCGGGCAGCTCGTGGGCGACGCGAGCAGCGGTCGTGTGATGGATAAGCTCTTTCTGTTCGCTTTGTCTCCGCGTGCCTGTATTCAATGACAGAGGATAGAATATCTTTCCTTGGGGATAAGCAGTAAACAGGTCGTGAAGGAGACCCTCAGAGACCGAGATTCGAGACATTGCAATGCGGCTCTCGACAGGTGTCCCTGACAGAGCGTAACCCAAGGGCTCGCATGATTTCTTGGACCACCGAGGCTGAAACTTGGACCCAGAGGTTTGGGCCGGGTCAAAGTCTTTGTCCCAATCGCTAGCGCTGGCGGACGAGCTAGACCGCGAGTTGCTTCGCGCGGCATCGAAAAAGATAACTCCGTCAAGCTCCAGACTCTCGCGAAGCAAGGTGCTAGCTTTGGAGAATAGTAGGGAGGCTTGGTGGGAAGAACCGCCGCCCTCGGACACCGAAATGCGGTTATTGAGTTCATCAGAACATCGCCTGACGTGCTCCTGGTGTTCCTCTTTCGGCGGTGGAACCATAGGCTCCGGAGAAAAATCTTTGAAGAATGGAGATTCTGGGACATCGATGGGTCCATCGTCCGTCTGCTGGCCCTTTATTGATTTGGGCGACAGATCGCGCGTCGACTTGGTCGATACAGATAGTCGTCGAAGTTCCGGCACTTCCGAGGATCCCCGAGAGGTTCTATCCACGACGCTATTCCGTTTGCTAGTAGCCCGTAGCGATTCGCCATCCGGCCTCCCGTCGCTTAAGCAAAGCAACGCATTCAACCAGCGGTCCGATCGGCTGTGATTATGTCTGGCCCAGACGCCCTCCAGGTGGACTGCAATAGATACAGAAACATCGCGTAGCTCTTGAATTTCATGCGCTCCAAACACCGAACGAGGGCGCTGGTCGCCGACGCAGTACGTCCCGAGAATATCCCCATCAGGGTTGTACAGAGGGACTTCGGCGTAGAATCGAATTTTCGGGTGTTGTCGCACGAAGGGATGGCTCCTCAGACCGTCTTCACGGGCAATGTCATGCACAATACGACGCGAGACGTCGACCGCGAGATTGGAAGTATTGACAGGATCATCGCCTTTCAACCCCAGACCGAACGTCTTGACTCCCAGGCCCGTGGAATCATGATGTCCATGTCTCGAATGTGGCGTTACACCGACAACGATGCGGCTTTGCTGGCCTTCGTTGAGGGCGACAAACCCGTTGCTACAACCGACGCGATAGAGACCCAACTGAGCGAGAGAAGCCAAGACCGGATCTGCAGCCATGGGCGTAGTCAACGAGGACTGCCGTCGTTGCATCGGGGGGACAGAAGATAGACCGTGACTCTGCAGGCCATGAGTCCTGGTCACGGAGGAAGTACGATATATCCTACGCACGACGAGCGTTAGCGAGTGTCCCATCACCCTTGACTTCACGAGGAAGATGTTGTTATCGACACATACCACGGCAGCTCTGGGGACGGCGGCTGCTCAATTGAAAATGAATGAGTATAATGATCATGAAAATCTGCTGAGTCCAATAACACCATCGCCGGGTTCTATTGTATCTCAGGAATGCGCACCATCCAAAACCAGTTTCTGTGCGAGCGCTCGGTCTGACCTGTAGAAGTAGAACGCAGTGGAGTAACAGGGATGCGGCGATCACCGGGCTGAATTAAGTAGGACCACAGCGCCAACCGGGGAGTTGGAGCCGACAAGATTGGGCTGAAATAAGGGCCTCCTCCGACCGACCGACCACCGTCTGGGGGAAAGGATCTAGACCCCGAGACCTAAAAAGCGGGTCCACGCAACGGTATGATGGTCATTGACGGCTTTTGAAACTCTGGGTCAGCCATCCGTGCCAAATTCTCTGGACCGTGTTCCGTGGGTCCTTTCTGCCAAGATAGGCCTACTCCCGGTCATCGTCTGCACCAGATTGGTGGGAATCGAGGATGAAGATTAGCTTGCCCTGGGGGCAAACCGGTCGTGGACTCGTATTCCTCCCATTCTCTTCCCACTGAGATGGGCATAGTTGTTTTTTAAGACGAGGTTGCAGGATCGTCCATACTAATGCGATGTTAGTCCCGACCAGAAACAGCACCGCCTCCAAACGGGGAAGCCCGAGAGAGATGAATCATGGATGGAGAGCGCGCGATGAAGCCTCAGATTGGATCGGAATCGTTTTCCCCACGGCTGGTCACGTGTATACTTTTTGGGGGATTATGTAATAGCCCTTGGTTTAGTTACAAGATAGTGAGTATTGTGTGTATCTGGTTGACTTTCGCTTGAATAAGGTTATTCGTTTGTCAAATCGTTCAATTTGACCACAGCTGAAGGGGATAGACAAGACACTGGCCAGTGGGCCACAAGGAAGGGTGATATCAAATCGAGTCGTGATAGTGGATGACCCTAGTGCTCTCTAGTAACTCTATTGGTGAAACCGGGTATTATAGCTCCAGTCGTCCAGCTTCTTAACCTAATTGGGTAAGTGTAAATGTTCGTGTATAGTATCGTCCCATGTCGTGATTCATTCCAAGGCCTGGAACATATTTCCCTGTTTTCTGGACTTGACCTGGTTTACTTTCGCTGGACCGATCGCCCCACGGTGGTTTTGGTATTGTGGGTCAGTGTGGCGACAGTCTGTCGATAAAGCTTCATCCAAGCTTGGAACCGGCCGAGGCAGACCCACCCTATTAGTCGTGGCTGGTCAGTGTGTCGGGTTGAGCTGACTCTGGTGTTGATCAGGCCATGTTACAACAATCCTCACGTCGATATCCAGGGTAGATGAACCTAATGTCTCTCGACACCCTTGTCTGTCTCCACAGTTCTCTCATGTCAAGCCCTAGTCCTGCATGTTGGAAAAGATCGAGGAACTACTCACACCCAGGTAGGTGTCAGGCTGTCCCACCCACCAGAAGTAAGGACATCTCTTCCACGAGGCAGCTGGCGGAATCGTTATCCAGACCCGTCCCCACTCTCCTCTTCCCAGTGTTCGTCCATATCTGCAGTTAGGGTTCCTTGGCTTTGCCCGAACAAGGTAGAGCGTACATCTCAAATCCCAGATATACGGCTCTCTCCATCGCACCCAGTGGATAATCAAGAATTCCGATTGCCCTTTTCCATGACCAACCAATCCTTTCGTCGCCAATGCGTGTCATGTTTCTCCGTCCGTCCGTCTGCGGAATACACAAGGTTTTAGTCTTCATATTCGCATTGTATTTTACCCACGGGTCAGTCTGGAACCTAAATTTCTCCCATAGACTTTCCTGTCTTTACCGTTCTCGCGATTACCAGGTCCGTCGATTCCGCCGGTACGAACCTCGGTGCGGGGAAAGCTCCTCACCAAGCCGGCGGCTGTCCCCACCAACAGCCAACCAGGTAAAATACTTGCGGCCGAGTTTGATGGACACGATCAGGTGGTTCTTGAACAACAGTGCCAATGGGGTTGGGACGATTTCCCAGTGGCCGTGGTCGAGATTTCAACATTTCGGGCACGGCCTACCGAGGTTTCCTCTCGCTGCCTGGTGGGCAGGTGTCTCTGTCCGGGGCATCCCCAGAAGTCTAACAGCATTAACGGTTGATTTCCGGGGGCTGGACTTTGTTTTCCTTACTCACCCATTGCGGGCCATCATAGATCTGGACTTATCTTGAACAGTGTTGAGTGGTTCTCAACGTTAAGCCTATTCCATACCTTTGATATCACCTCATCATTTAATGGCGCATATGAGCCTGGGCGTGATTAGACAATGTCCTGTTCCTGTCTATTACATTTTTTGATAAACTGTCCACTAGTAGAGCACTTATAAGGCTCATAATATGTGGCCAGATCCAGATAATAGCTTGGTGGCAGGATGCATATATGCTTGACTGCATTTTAAGATTTCAAGATATCCACGTCAAGTATATTTGCATATGTACATCAAGCGAAGAATGGGTATCATGATGGAACATGGTGGTGAATGCAATCAGTCAATCGGCCACTCTCACCTGATCGCAAAGCTGCTAGTTCAGAATTGCCCTTCTTACCACCTTCCATTTCCTTTTCTATAGACTCTATCAGCCTCGCCAGTTTCACTCTTCTTTCATCTCAGCGATCGCTACTGGTTCCACTACTCTTTTTACATCATTGGCCCCTCCGAGATACTATAAAGTCGGATAAGGACTGGCTGCAAAAGATAATATAAACAATGTATCTCGTTCAAACAACAATTATACACATCCTCCAGTACTACTTCTTCCGACGCTCCACTTCCTAATATCCCACTCAAGCTCCCTAGAATAGTAACAAAAGTCAGCATCAATTCAAACACTAAACCCCCATGCCAACATCCCAGAAAGGAGAACCATACCAAGAACCTCAAATGTCCATCCACATTCGCAATCTTATCCGCCAAAAACAGGCCCTGACGACCCCTCGTCCCACCCCCGTGCATCTCCAGATCAGCCGTCAGCTTCGGGCCCTTATCTGATGCCTCCAGCCCGATGTTCCTCGCTGAACGGGTGAAGTTGGCTCCATCCCAGACGAAGTATCCTATGGGGCATTATTAGATGGGCAAGTTCGCAGTATATCAGACTAGGGAGCGAAGAAGTGTTGCTCACCATCTGAATTGCCAATGTGGTCGTCTAGCCGGATCTTCCGAGAGCAGAGCCTGCCCGTGTGGTCGCGGACTTGGGCAAGGAGCATGGTTGACCCGTTTTCCTCGCGGATGTGGATGTCGTGACTGGAGAGGTGGAAGGACATTTTCCTTTCGATCTTTTTTTTTCTTGCTATGGATTGGGATTATGTGGTGGGAAAGAGCTCGACGGATGTAGACTGGTCTTGGTCTTTATATATACGGATCACTGCTTACCGCTTGTACAGTCCACATCGCAGCATTGTGGCTTGGATGGCCTTCGTTGCACATACCGCGCATGCTGACCTCGCGGTGGGCTCACCGATTAGGGGTGAGTGGGTCTGTCTGTTTCAGGCAGCAGTTTTGTTGGTGTTGGGAGACACCACGGCGTAGACTTCAACCAATGTGTTTTCCCGGTACATGGCTTTGTCGAGAATAATTGGATGGTTGGATTATCGCCCTATTCATGATTGTATCGTTTGATTGTTGGGCAGGAAGTTTGGCTTCTGCCCATCTTTCGCGTGAGCTTATTCCGTTTCTTAAAGGTTCGCATTATAGGTCATATGCAGGCGTCGTAACCAGTGGGGTAGGGCCCATGTGGTGTCACAATTAGGAAGCACGACTGCGGAGCTTCGTAGCAAGGCTCAGCCTACAATCTTGATAAGTGACAATCATCATCTACACCTCAAGCGATCTTTATCGCCACATTCCCATTGATTCCACTTTGCCAGGCAGAAGCCTATATCATATTGATTCCCTTTTAGAACTGCTGTGTAAACGATTGATATCCAACGACAGACGTTTTATTTATAGGTATTGTGTGCCGCAATGGAGTCATTTTAGCTGTAACGCAGCAGGATATTAGATTCGTCTAAACTAGCGACACGATCGACAAGACGACGGGAGATCGGCGCACATATAGTGTACCAGGGCAGTTCCTAATCCTTTTGAATCCTCGTCCGACAGGGGGTAAGACGGGAGGATATCTTAGCAGATCCCTAAATCAGTCAACGCTTGATGGTCTGGTTCCTGTCGCTCTTGACTTGTATCAATCACTGTGTACATGCTCAAGGATATTGCCTTTCTGTGTCATCCTTGTGAAGGCTGTGGGCTGGGTCACATTGATACGAGTGTCAATCTGCTGGTTGTCTTCCTGATACAGGTTCATATATAGAAATGACAACCTCTGGGGCATATTCTATTGGATACAAGTCATCATATATTGAATTAAATACGCGTCTTATCCTCAGCAGAGCGTAGTAGATACTACCTATTCCATATTTTACACCCTTCATATCAAGTATCGGCTGCAGTCGGCCCAGTGACACCTACTGAACCGCCTGGTATCTATCACTGGAATTCAATATTCAACAACGCAGTGCCAGTCTCCTTATGCCTTCGAGGACTAATATAGTGCGGATCAGGTACTTTCATCGATCCATGTAGGTCAAAAGACAGCATCCACAAATTGCAGCAAAGTAGCATAGAAACCCAGCTAGCTGAACTGTTTCAATCACTTGTAACCAACTTTGTGAGTCACTGACACTTGACCATAACCTACCATCTCGTGTCTGATCCACAGTCGCTGGTAGAAGATCACCTGAATGCCAGGATATAGAGCATCGTATTGCATATATTATGAAACATGATTGGAAAAGCGCATACCCAGACTCAGTCCGACCCTTCTGGATAAGAGAAAACCAATATCCAAGTCTACGATCATTCTCGCGTCTGTATAATCTCCCTCTTATCTATATACCTTCATTCTCCAACTCGTACCACCTACTATTGCGTATGTATATCTACTCAACAGAGTTCTGCTTTCAAGGCGCCAGTGCGTACAGCCACTGATCCTCTGTATCATTATGATCAGCCAAACTCTACTATCGTGGAGCATGCCTGCGCGCGGGCCCAGCCTTGTAGTATCTTCCAGTGTTGGCCTCCTTGCGAAGGTCGGGCATAGGTGTAGTACAGAACGAGGTGGTTGAACTGTTCCTGCATAGGGATGCATGCGGGGTTCCTTGTCGATTGCCCGGCCTTGGGTCATGGAGCCAAATGGCCGTAGACGCGGTTCGTTACTACACTTGCCTTTCTAGTGACTAGGTAGAGATGGTGTGATGAGTTATAGTCCAACTTGAGTATTATCAAGCCCCTTTGCAGATAACCCATAGCGAGGCTCGCTGCACGTAGTGCTACCTTTCACGACTCCATTCCCGCGATAGACTCTTTATTGAGGAAATTTATACCATTGAGCAAAACCCTACCAAGATTCTATGTATAGACACGATAAATACACCGCCCCAAGACAAATCACGAGGACTTCTTCTCAATAGCGGCCTCCACCTTGTGAGCAGCGGTCTTGGCCGGCTCGACCATCTCGTGCTCCATCTCCTTCAGGGCCTCCTTGGAGGACCCCTCCAAGCTACGGCGGTAGCTGAAGATGCGGCTGACCTGGACGGCGCCGACGCAGCCGAGGAAGAAGTTGACGGCGGCGAGACTGTATGCGTTAGTTATATACCCCCAGTATGATAGCGATGGATCAAACGTACAGGTAGTTGCGCGGGGTGATGATCATGCACCAGCGGGTCCAGATGGCGCCGGTGGCCATCAGGGCGCCGTTCTGCGTGAGGGAGAGCTTCTCAGCGGGACGGCTGAAGTCGGAGATACCGGCGATGACCAGCGCCCACTGTGACGGGTATATCAGTATATGGACTCGAGTATGGAGAGTGAGAGGACGGCGCGAGGAGAGCGCGTTGCGATGTTTGACGGTCGCGTGACGATCGATGCACATCGTCGGGTCGAACGTACCTTCATGACAGGGGCCCTACACACGTCAAACGATAATTAGCGATCGCCTTAATGGGGAAACATTTGACAAGGCCATACCAGAAATGAACCGTCTTGATGCCAATGGGGCTGTCCCACATGCGCCGAAAAGTGCTCTGTTGCTCGGACGCAGCGTCGCTGCTCTGGAAGCGGAATCCCTGGGCACCAGGCCGACGGAAGGGACCAGCGCCATTGCGGAAAGCCGCACGGCTGTTCTGGAAGAATCGGAAACCAAGACGGGACGACGACATGGTGTAATATCTCCAGCCAGGGACGGTGTGTAGGAAGAGGGAGAAGAGCGGCGGAAAGAGAGCGGGAAACGAAATCTGCCAAGAGTGAGCTCTCTGGCGGTAGGCTCGGTGAGAATGGTCAAGTTGAGCAAGTCGCCCAACCGCACTTATAACGTAAGGAGGGAGTAGGCCACGAACCTGAAATCGCAATCGCAACTGATAAATATCGTTCCTGACGTTCAAATCTCAACGAAACTCCCCAACATGGCGAACTCCGACCGGTGTCGGCCTGTTTGTGTAGTTTGCATTGTGATATGTTTGCACTGTTTGTGACAATGTGTGGCTGACTCAGCGTGACAATCCCGCTTGCCCCAATTGGTCTATTCTCAGACCTCATCGTCGGCCTGCTGTGCTTCTCCCCTCGTCGGCCTCATTACCCCCCATTGTCTCCAGATACCCCAATTGCTCACCCGGGGCAGTCCTACGCGTTGTCTTCTCTTTCGCCGGTTTCGCATCTTCTCAGTTGACCTCCCGCTATAATGTCCTCCAAATACGCATTCGCCAAGGGCTTGAAGGAGCTGCGCTTCCTTTTCTGCCAGACCTCTGAGCAGAGCACCGGTGTTCGGTGAGTCTTGCTATGGCTTTTATATGTCGCCTGAATGCGTCTCTGATTATATCGTCTGTCTAGCTCGTTCCTGAACCGCGCCTACCCGACCATGAAGAAGCACAACCCGCACACCCCGATCCTCATGCGAGAGGCCGGTGGCACCCTGCCCAGGGTGTATGCCAGATACGGTATGCCAGTGTTGGCTTGTCGATTATGATATAAAGCTAACGCGAGTTCATTTGTAGCGCTTGGACAGGAGAAGCAGGAGGCGTTGCTCGGTAGGGCTCCCGTCCTTTCTAATTTCAACGAACACCTACTGACCCAACTTTTATAGGCCTGACGGACCAGCAGATCGAAGAGAAAGTCACCCAGCTTGTGAAGGCGTCTTCATAGCGCTCTACCTAGATTGTTTCATGTTCATGCACCGTTGTCCACCCCTGTATCTATAGATGAATGGAGAAGAAAAATCTTACTGCCGGCATCATATATCCCCCCACAGGCAATCATATCAAGCGCTATATAGTTCCACACTCACTCACAGCGAGCTACTCCCACCCGCCACATCGCCAAACCGATACTGCGCCCAGCTCATACTCCCATCCTTATACGTCCACAGTCTCCGACCCAGGTCCTCGCCCGCGGCCCCCGCCCCGATATGAATCGGAAGCAAGTGCTCGAAAGACGGATGCGCCTGGCGGGCATCGCCGCGCTTCAGCAGCTGCGCCATGGCCTGCTCTCGCTCCGCCGGCGGCTTTGTGGCTGCGTCTTTTAGCGCCTCGTCGAAGCTAGTCGTGTACGGCATGGGCTTGGGACTGCCGAACGCGCGCATCATATCGCGCAGATTGTGCACCGCCATGCCGGATACGATGATCAGGATATTATCGTCGCGGAGGGATGACACCGCCTCGCCGAGTCGGTAGTGCTGCACTGGGTCCTCTGTACCGAACAGCGACACCTGCACGATGGGCACGTTGAGCGGGTTCGACTCGGGTTCGAACGCTTATCCGTCAGCATACAGGTCTACCGCGAGCGTCATCAATACAACATACCGCACTTGAAGCTCGCCCACACCCCGTGGTCCAACCCCCGCTTCACCCCCTCGGCCTTGATCCCGGCCTTGTTCAGCAACCCCAGTACTTTACTGGATACTTCCTGGCTGCCCACATTAGGGAACGTCTCCTTGTAGTAATGAGACGGGAAGCCGTAGAAACTATTCCGTCAGTATCACGTGACAAACTCCTTGGAAGTGGAGAGAATCAAAGAAAGAAAACATACTCATAAATCAAATCCGTCATCTCAGCCGTATTCACCTGAATCGTATCCCTCCCCGCCTGCCAATGGGCAGAAAACACCACCACCGCGCGCGGCTTCACCTTGGTCGTGATCTCCCGCCCGATGGCTGCTAGTTTTGAGTACGCGGGGTGTTCCTGGTCGTACATGACGTTGGGCTTTTGTTGTTAGTTATGGACATATTATAGTGTCATCCGCCGCACGTGCTACATAGTTGCATACATGTACGTATACATATATGTACACTACACATACCAGCGAAAGCGAATGAGAGTAACAAGTCCACAAGAAATACGACTAAGCAAGAAAAGCGAGAACTCACCCCCCCATGACTCAAAAAATAAACCGGCGTTCGACCCATCTTGCCGTTCGTCACCGGCGAGGTACTATCGGATGAAGAAGTAGTAGTCGTTGTCGTAGCAGCAGTAGCCAAAGAAGAGGAAGACCGCCCCGCACTCGCAGCCGGCGCGAACAGACGTTTCAAGCGGAACAGATTGGCGGCTGGGTCGGAGTCAGGTAGAAATGTGGCGGCGAGCACGGCGATTACGACAGTAAATAGCGAGAGTAGGATGACTGTGGAGGGACGTTTGGGTTGTGCTTCTTCGGTGGAGGCGGGAGTGCCACTGGAAGACATGGGCTATATATAGCTGTAGGAGTGCCTTGTATCTGTCAAAATGATAATGACGGACTGACTGTAGCGATATTACAAAGGTATCACGGTATATATATGCCAACAGTAAGAAAGTTCCAGATCTATAGTAGGGTAATCATCACAAATCAACCTCGTTTCTTTGTTTCGGCAGGCCAATCGGTGATCCGATCGGCCCGGATTGGTCAGGAGGGCGGCGCCATTTCCGCCCTCAGGCCACAACTGTGCTGCTGCCTTAGGCAGAGATGTGATCGGGTGTCTTGGTTTATACCAACATGGTGCTAATATCAATGATGTTCAGAAGACAATATGCTATTGAGACTGGATAGTATTTGTACGCTGGCACCATGTCAATAGCTCGTTCACTATAGTCTAGGGTAGATTGTACCATTTATCCACCCGAACATGGCTTTATATATCTAAACACCTACATATCCTCACGCCAGTTAGTCATGGTAACCAGAGGTGCTAGCAATCTAACCACTAATATTCAATGACTTAACATGCGCCAATACACCAGTCCCAGTTCGGAGGGTAAGGTATCATACTGCTCAGCTAGCACCCACCCACCTTCATAAACGGATCATGACAAGAAAGACAAGTAGAAAAGGCAAAAAAAGAAAGGAAGAGAAAAGAAAGATTTCATATCATAATAACTACACTCAACTACATTACGACACAATCGCCGTCGTTCTGCTTCTGCTGATTGACTGCCGATCGAGACAGCCGCGTCTTTTGCATCCGCGCTCCGCCCTTCTTGAGCTCCTCCAGGCGTTCGCGAGCTTTGGGGAATCCTTGGGCTAAAATGACAGTCAATATTGTGAAATTATGGGAGGATCAGTGGAGGAGGGAAATGAGGACATACCAGCTGCCCGCCAATACCATCGTTTGGCATCGTCTAGATTGGCAGCGACGCCGATACCGACTTCCGTGAAATAACCCATCGCGTGCTCGGCTTTGGGTAGACCCGCCATGGCGGCCTTGCGCGCCCACAGGTACGCTTCTGTGTCCGTCTGTTGGAGGATGCCGTCCGCGCCGGTGAGGTACCATCCACTCAGGGCCAACTCGCTCTGGTGCTCGCCTTGAGCGGCGGCGTGCGTGTACCAGATGATACTCTGTCGAGGATCCACGGGACAACCCATCAGACCATACTCGTAGGCTGCGCCCAGACGGAACTGGGAGAACTTGTACCCCAACTCTCCTGCTTGGTGGAACAGTTGGTTGGCGTATGCTTCGTCCCGGATGATGACATCGTTGGGGCCGGCATTGGAGTACATGAGGGCGAGCTCGTGCAATGCGTGGGGATTCTCCACGTCGGCGCGCTCCGCCGCACGCTTCAACCAGGAGATGCCCTCCTTGGGGTTCTTCGTCTGACCCAGCAGTCCCTTGAACAGGACCATGCCCATCTTATACATGGCCGGGGGATCTCCCAGGGATGCCGAACGCTTGTACCACTGCACCGCCTTGGCAGCATCGCGCTTGGTTCCGCCGCCCTCTTCCTGGCCGATCTCGCAGCAGACTGCCACGCGATACGCGGCCTGCGCATGCCCGGCCTTGGCGGCGGAGTGATACAGATTGTACGCTTCCTTGTTGTCGACCTGAAGACCAAGCTGGCCCTGACCATAGCAGTCGGCCATGAAGAATTGCGCCTCGGTGTTCCCGTTCGAGACTAACTTCTTGACGATCTTGTACGCCTCATTCGTATATTTCTCCCGAGCCTTGGCCTTGCCTTTCGTGTCCAGGTGCGCACTGTCCACGAGGACAGTCGACGCTTCGACCAGTTTTTTCGCAAGCTCCAGCTGGAGCTTGGGGTCGGCGGATTTGCCCTTCGTCTGTTGCTGCAGCCGCTGGATTTCTTCATGGGTAACGGGCTTAGGGACTGGTCGCTGAGCGGGTTGGATCTGCGCGGGGGCTGCCTGGGGGGCGGCGTTGCTGTACTGGCGCACCGGCGCCGGCTTGCTCCCCTGGTCGTGGCCCGGGCGGAAGGGCGCAGGATGGTGCGGCAGCGCATCTGGGTTCTGATCAGGATCCATAGCATCCGGTTCCTTGACCTGAGCGTTCTCCGTGATGAACCCCGTCTGGTTGGCCCGATATGGCCGCGGGGGAGCATTGCCAGGATATCCTTGCACTGGGGTCCCGCGACTGCCCGGCGGTGGCCCGTACTGTCCGTTGGCTTGTTGATTATAAGGGTCCTGGTGGAAATCGAACCCGTCCTGATACCCTGCAGGGGCCGACTGCGGTTCCGGGAGGTCAAATTGAAATCCTGCATGGGCGATCTGGTTTCCTGATTTGTCGCCCCGACTCAAGTCCGGCTGCGACTGGGTGTGGTGCATTTGTCCCGGCTGTGGCTGGAACGCAGCATACTGGTTCGCCGCCGCTGGTTTCCTCTGTGACGGCGTTTCCAGACCTGGCAGGCTCTCGTCGATGGCACTACCCTTATGTGCATCGAAATTTGGCATGTCCGGCTCATCTGGGGCGCTGTTGTAGTAGCTGTCCAGCAAATCCTCCGTATCGTTATGGTCCCCGCCACCGTAGCCGGTATCCTCATACTTGGATTGCCCAGGATACTGCGAGCCGCCCGGACCCCCAGCGCCCACGGGCATGGTTGCACTGCGGTTCATGCCCGGCACCGGCGGTGCGCCATACGGATCCGCGTAGGGACCAGGCGGGCGTCCAGCACTGGCGGACCTGGACGGGCCAGGCGGAGGATAGTTTCCCCTGCTGCTAGACCCTGACCTCGCCGGTCGCGGCATATCCGGCCTTCTTCCGCCGGCGGTCCCGGGCCGATCTGGCATCCTTCCATTGATGTCCATGGCGGCCATGCCCCGTTCGATCCCTCTCGGTCCAGGAGGTCCGGGAGGCCCGGGAGGCCCCGGAGGTCCGCGGGGGTCCCGGGGGTCCCGAGGAGGAAACATCGGGAACGGATTGTCCTGCGGCATCCTGTCGGCGGGCGAACGACCAGCTAATCACACGTCAATACCGTTAGGAAGGGCAATTTGCGAAACGGTCGCACTCACGAGGCTTCATCCGATCTCTTGGAGGTGGTCTGCGACGAGGGTCATGGCCCGGCGGAGGTCGCCCACCATGAGCATATCCTCTATCACGTGGTGGGTCCATGGGGGGGTAACCTCCACGAGGGGGTCGTGGCGGACCTCCTCGTGGAGGCCCATGAGACCTCGGCGTGTATGACTCCGGAGGGTATTCGTGCCCCGCCTCATCATAGTAGCCTCCTTCTCCGTACCCATTGTTATAACCGTAGTCGGCGTACGCATCTGGCTGCGGGGGTGGATAACCCGCGCGCGGAGGACGAGGGCCGAATTGCCTCGTGGGAGGCGCACGCTGTTGCGGGTACGCCATGGCAGCCCCAAAGGCGGCAAATCCCGGGATTAGGCGTCAAACGTGACTAGGGTCGTCGGTCAATAAGAAGGCTCCGTCACAAGATCCCCCCTATTCCAAAGTAAAATCCAAAGCGGTCTAAGTGTTTATCGGCGACAAGTCACAGGTCGGGGTCACTGTTGATTTAAGGAACTGGACATTAGTCCACGAACAGGGTCGAAATCGGCCGAGACACGTCGCTTACTAGTATTCCAGGTTGCTAACGAGCGATAGTCGTAGGGAACCTTCAGCAAGCGCATAAAGAGTGCGCGACCACTTCCTCCAAGTTTATGCGCCCAGTACCTGTCGCGCCTGTAGTAAGAAGACGACACAGTCAGCGCAAATGACCTGGAGCACCCGAGCGCGGTCGGCGGCCCAAGCGCCACAAAACAGGACTCCCAAGCGACAGATGTGAGGATTGGGCTTTTCGTATGGCCTGAAGGGGAATCTGAAAAGGGGAGGACAAACAGTCGGCCTGAAGGAGATAACGACAGAAAGGAAGACAAAGCTTCCCAGCTAAAGAGTGTATGGCTAGGATATCTAAACCAAAAGATATTGAAATTAAAGGGTAAAAAAATAAGGATACAAGAAAGAATCAAAATGACGATAACAGTGAAGGTAGTAAAGAGAGGGGAGAGAGGGAGAGAATGAGGTGGAAGGGAAGTCGGCAATGAGGGGGGAATGATAGAATTTAGGAGGGCGTCGGAGGTGGAGGTACCGTTCAAGTAATGAATGCACTGCGCGGGTACTTGGCCCGTCGAGGGATGGTCAAGAATCAGCAAACAGCATCACAACCACCACACATTACACCCAACAGGGTCATTATTCCTCCTCCAGAGAATGCCTTTCATTTCCCGAGGTGACAGGGATTACATATCTTCGAGTTGTTCCAAACTTTATCTGCCACCGGGCCAAAAACCCGTTGGACATTCCTTGACTTGCTAATTAGGCAAACCAAAGCACACTCCATAAATGGGGAGAAATGAATGAATGACCCACGTCTCAGGGTTTATGCCAAGATGCCCCGCCGTCTGTTTCTCTACATTGTTAATTTAAATGATTAATATAGATTGTCCCGTCCCAGAAGTATAATCCGTTCGAGTTTCCCCGGTGGATATCCAGGACTAGGCACTGGACAGTATAAACCACATGCGCCGCCTGACCATGTATGGAGGGACGACTCTCGACATCGTCACATGTCTCCTTCTCAAAGACATCTCTATCCAGAGGGTCAATCTGTATGGAGCATATCCCCTTGACTCGCTGGACAATGTCCATCGGGGGTGGGTGCGCCATGTATTGTATAAATATCCCCTACAATCCATCCCCAACAGCACGAGTCAAATGTCACACAATCCGATCAAGGGTCCAAGATCCACTCTGTCCTACAATTGGAACTCGCAGATTCCTTTTATCTCCTGAGCGCGCCAGATTCCTTTGCGACACGCCCTTGCAGAATGGGCGTATCAGATTGCTGATCTCGTCGCGGAGGTGGAGCCTCGGCCGCCCCTTGCTTCTGGAATGCTTGTTGGGTCCATTGTCAACATGGTCTCGAGGATCATGACATTCAAGGGATGTTCGTGTTCGCGACTGTTGTTGGTAATGCACTCGATAGCCTTTGAATAAACAACTAACCAACAAACAAAGAACTCAAAGGGATCTACTAGCGGGTACCAACACCACAGCAAACCTTTCATGTCCAAATCCGTAAGATGATGATCACCTCGTGTTTAGCGGGAAAGGGTCCCAATATTCATCCTGAGAGTTCTCATGTAGTCCCTCGTTTGGGGCCATTTTCCAGTGACTATAGACTGAGCCGAGCCTTTGCCGAGGCGATACATGAAGTCAAGTCATGAGATAGCAAAACATCCACAGACCCAAACATTCAACCGCAAGTCCCTTTAAAATTGATGGAAATGCCTCGCAGGATCAAGCTAGTGCCAACAGAAAAGCAGACCAAGTGGAGCAAAAAGAACTTTTTCTGTGGATTGAATTGTGCAGATTGATGATTCTGATTGGTACTTTGTTGGAAGCGGTTTTTGACTGCGCCACGGTTACTTCAGAGGCAAGCCACAGATCATCCTGCACAGCCACATGACCGAGACCGATGATGCTATCCGATCCGCGAACCAGCCTATGCGCATTTCTCATCAGACTACCCATACGACAGCAGCCTTCCAACCACACCATTCCAGATACTTCACGATTGCTTAGGAAGAACGCATTGGCTTGATTCAAGACCTCCCATCACATCCACATACCCCACCATGTCGCGAGCAGGAACGTGGTTGAAAATGCTGGGAACGTAAGACGCACCCCGCCCATCCCAATACACCATTTCTAAGAGTCTGGTATCTGATGCAATGATCACTACAGCGGCATCGTCATCTGTGTCGGCGGTCCCGCCCTGGTGCAATCCATCCGCCCCACCGACGAAGAACTCTTCAAGCGATACAACCCCGATCTGCAGAAGCGCAGCCTGGAAGAGGGCGACCGTCGCGCCCAGGAATTCGATGACTACGTCAACCGGTTAAAGCAGTGGTCCAAGTCGGATAAGTCGAGTTCGTTGTCCCGTCCACCTTTGGAACACTTGTTATAAGATTGAGTCTAATGTGGTGTTTGCTGTCTAGTTTGGTACGCGGCACAGGAACAACAGGAGCAGAAACGGTCGGAGGTCGAAGCGCAGCGCAACAGTGTTAAAGAGGAGGCGCGTACACAACGTGAGGAGATGCGCAAAGAGCTGTTGGGGGATAAATAGGTTGATTGACTGCCACGGTAGACGCTCAATCTACTGTGTGTGCCGTTAGCGGTTGGATTCGTTTTGGCCTGGAAATGTGAGGATCTGCTCGCCCGGATCTTGTATTTATAATTGTGTTCCACGGGCTAGGCTTAAAATTCCTCTTTGCGTCGGGGCTTTGTTTGGATGGCCTTTTGACTTGTACGATAAGCTGGCTTTTATGAGTTCACGAAGTGTATCAGTCTAATTTTCTTGGAAGGTTCAAGCAACTCTATGTACGACGAGGTCCATCCGACACATTTCTGCTCACGCTTCAGCCGAATTCTGTGTTTGAAACCGTGATATCCGATCTGCTGCCAGAGGACCATTCTGTCCGCGGATTGATAGTTTAGGCGGCTAACTACAACGTACTAAATTTAAATCTGACAGTGACGCCATGGACCTGAGCCTAGTTTTGAGACGCGCGATCTGCAGCGTGTAGGGCTGGCATTAGCTGTCAGCGTGGCGGAGATGGATTACTTCTTCTGATTAATTTGATTTTCCTTCCATTGATTTTATTTGTATGTGTATTAAAACGTATATACACGTTTGATCGACCAAGGAGAGAATGTGTATTACCAAAATTACAGATACTGGCGCAGAGTACACTTATAGGGATCAAAATATTCAGTCAGACAAGGCCTACATGATGTGAGTACTGAGGACAATCCAACCAGGACAGTAAATCAGGCTAACCAAAGATAGCAGAGATTGAATGCTAAACCCCGAAAGGATGGGCATTGACGAGTGAGTGTCAAGCTGGCAAGGATCCACGATCATTCCACTGATCGGCTTCCAGACTCAGACCGACTCTGGCAACCGTGGCACATACTGTATACTAGTGGCCGAGCTGAGATCGCCACGTGAAGGGGTCGGATATCCTGCACAGCCTGTTTCTCGAGCAACCAGTATTCAGTCTACTTTGTACCAGTACAAGCAGCACCAACAATTATCTCAATAACGTGCATGTCGTTGTCTGTACAATTTGTGCCCGATTCCAGACAGGTCACATGATGCCACTTGTAGGCGCACGATGCTCCACTCCAGATACTATTTGTATAGCCACGGATAGTGAGATATAAATAATTATGTTGCTACCTAATTTCAGCGTCTTGTAATTCTATGATCAGTTTCCTAACACCCCAATTTTTTGTTTATCAAATATATACGGGTATATATATATTTATATATATGAGTATATTTGTACAGTAAAGTCTCTGTCTAACTTCAGGGTCTCTTTGTTTCGTCTATACGAGGGCACGGATTGGCCGCCTGGACCTTGCCTTCCCATTTACGGTGGCTATGGTCACGTGATCGAACCCGACAGAACCGAAACGCCCGTAATCTCCAAAGGCGGGCGGCGACTTGTCAGCTTCACTTCAACAACATCTCCCTCACTTCTCCATCCCACTTCATCCGATCCTCTCGACTTTCTCTGGTCACTAGTCTGGCCTTCATCCGGAGTCGCTTTTGGTGCTACTGGCCCTGTCGTTTCGATCCTTTCTCTCGGCCTCCTCTACGCGAAATCGACCGATCCCTGAATCCCCATATCTAGATCATCTGGTGACCCACCAGGTTCTACGACTGGAACTTCGATCTTTCTACTTCTTTTAAATAACCGGAATCATGTCTGAGCCACCTTACGACCCCTATATCCCCTCCGGCTCCAACGGGGCCCCCGGCCAAACGGCGCAAAATGGCGACCCCAAGACCCGCGAAATTGACAAGGTAAGCTTGAAGCCATCGACCCTTTGTACATTCTGCCACAGGGAGACGATTAGCATCGGGTTTGCCTCGGTTGGATGAGATGGATGGGATTTCCTATTGTCGTCCTGTTACGGGCCATTCAGGTCACTTGGGAACCCCTCGATGCTACCCCTGATTTTGCATGGCTGTCGCGCCACCCCGGTCGTCCGTGCATCCTAGACTGACGTGTTATCGCCGCAATAGAAAATCCAAGAGACTGTCGACACCATGCGCTCGAACATCTTCAAGGTCTCGGAGCGTGGCGAGCGTCTGGACTCGCTTCAGGATAAGACCGATAATCTGGCCACCTCGGCGCAGGGTTTCCGTCGGGGTGCCAACCGCGTCAGAAAGCAGATGTGGTGGAAGGACATGAAGATGCGCGTATGCTTGGTCATCTGCGTCATCCTCCTGCTTGTCGTGATTATCGTCCCTACCGGTTTGTCCTGCCCATGTCACCCTT